ATCTTATCCCAAATACAGTCCTAGAATGAATTAAACATTAGAATTATTCTCCTTTCCAGGAGAATAAAAAACTGGGATTCAGAAGCTAACTCATTTATTATAAAGCTCAGAGGGGCTATCCAACTCTGGCATGGCAAAGCGAGACAGCCACCAAATGTCATTTTAAGCTACATCTTGACCATCGGAGCAGCCTGCCTCCGTGGAGCTCCGTGACCCGGCCCAGACTTACATTTCCAGATCTGGGGTCGGTGACTTCTTTGTAGAGGCTGATATCCAGGTAGTAGCCTGACTCATTCGTGAGGAACAGGCGGATGGGAATGACACCTCCGGTGGTGGTCTGGCGAATGTTGATCTTGACCTCAGCCTGTAGCACGCGGAGTTTCCACAACCGGCTGCCATAGCGCATAACCATGGAACGCACCGACTCCTCAATCTGCCCCAAACCACAGCAATTCCAATTTCAGAGCCCATTCTGCACACATTTGCAATAGTTCTAGCACTAGTAATAATGAAATGATGAGATATATTGAACACAAAATGCCTAGGACATAGTATTTACCCGACAACTATGAGCTATAATAACCAAACCTTGCTAAGCATTTAAAGCTCATTATCTCAGTTCATCCTTATAAATACTCACAGAGGCTGGCATTTGTATCCCCTATTTACATGGGGAAATAGGCTGGTAACTGAGAATTAGTGCTTCTGCATTACACTGCCTTTATCTCTATCATGCATCTCAAGCCTATGTGTCTTCTGTTCTGGGGACTGCGTGGACTGCTGGAGGCGGGCATCAGCATGGATACATCTACATCCCAGACGCCAAGCTAGCATAACAGGATTCCTTTCACTACCATAAACCCTGCCTGTTCACAAAAAACCAGCCAATGGAGTCTCCAACAGGACACGGAACCAGGAAGAAGACAAACTTTTGTTTTGCAAGACATTTGGGGCATCCATGTTGTCCTAAAAGTGAAGCAGGGCCATGGAGGGGGAACATCAGAACCAGGGTAGACCTAAGGGCAGGGGCTAAAATACTGCTCTAGAATTAAACGATGGAAGGTTTGTTTTCCACCTACAGCAACTAAAGTTCAAATGTGCACATATGCATCCTGGAACTTGGGCCTTGATTGCCAGGAGACAATACCCAAAGCAGCATAGTGCAGAGAGCCAGTGAAGGTGAGCCCAGAGCTCAGTGAGGGCCCCCCCAAAGGCGAGACCTTATAGGGGTCCATGATGACAGTGGGCACGAAGTTGAGGAAGATGTGGTTGCAGTCAGTGCGCACGCTGGTGTTGTTGAACGCCACCTCCAGCTCGTCCATGGCCTCCAGGAGCAGCCGCTCACCCTCGTTCTGCAGGTACTCGAAGGAGGCTTCCTGCCAAAGGTGGGAGGGACAGCCGCTAAGGCAAGGAGGAGAGGCGAACATTCTTCTCCAAAGGCTGTGCCAAGTGAGAACAGCAGAGCCCTGCCTCCAAAGGTGAAGGCATGACCAAGGCTGCCTACTACATTCGCCTCTTTTATTTTCTGTATTCTAATGCTTTGACGAATGGGATTGCCCCTTCCAGAGTTAGCCAAGTCCTAGAGATAGTAAACAACTCACCCATGAGCACACTTTTCAACTTCAAACCAACCAATCCAGAGCCCATACCCCAACCACCTCCTTTATCAGGGTCTCACACTCTAGGCCACTATCCCCCTGCCCTAATCACCCCTGGCTCAGGTACCAGTTACCTAGAGATAGCCCCTATGCTCGGAGCCGGCTGAAATTACTCGAACTAGCCAATCTCAACCCTGAGTACCCTGCCTCGCCTGTTCCTTCCTGCAGACACCACAGTAAAGGCTCTTGCCCACAGTTCCCCCTTCTCCATTGCCTCCCACCCAACTCTAGTGCTTCCTGGTGTGGCCCACCATGGAGTGGTGAGACCCTCCTCTTGGGCACTCTGAGTAATAATCTTTTCAATGCTAACTGTCTTCTGCTCTGTTTGCCTTACTGTACCTGAATAATAATCAAACTTATTAAAATATCTAGTTGACTGAGGCAGCAAAACATTGAGATTAATTTACCATTCATCAACAGGGGATTAGTAAAATATTACATGAACAGCCCACCCATTCAAGGAAATAGCATGGAGCGGATTATCTTCGTTAACATGGAAAGAGGTCTCTAAGTAACTGACTAGTTTAAAAAACTGATTTTTACTAGTCTTCGAATAATCTGTCCACCTGAGTTCCGTCTGTAACAGTATACCTACAATGCTATATATGGAATTATGCCTAGAAAGGAGAACCAACAGGGCTGACCCCTGAGTGGCAGGATTCTGGGTCCTTTCCCTTGATTTTTAAAAGTACAGCTGACCCGTGAACAACACAGGGGTTAGCAGCACTGACCTCCCACACAGTCAAAAATCCACGTATAACTAGAGCCTCTTACATACGCAGATTCCCACCCTGAGGGTTGACTCTTAAACAACACAGGTTGGAATTGTACAGGTCAACTGAAAAAAAATGTACATAGTTCACACACATGGTGTTCAAGGGTCAACTGTAGTTTTCAAATTGTTTGAAATTTTCACAATATAACCATGGGTTACTTTTCTAAATATAAGAAACAATGAAAAATGATCACACAATCAACAAATACAAGAAACTTAACATACCAGCATCTATCTTTCTATCCTCTCAGTTCTTTCCTCATGCAGAGAGACCCACGTGACACAAGAAACAGATCCGCATGACACAAGCCGGGACATGAAAATTGGCCACATGAATATCTGCCTCGCCCTTACACTGGAGTGACATAAGGACAGGGCTGTGTGTACCCAGTATATCCTGTGATCTCTAGTGTGAAGCCCAGGGCTCGGCACAGAGCAGGAACTCAACAAAGGGAAAGCCAGCACATATGAGTGACAAGTTCAGAGGGAGAAAGAAACGTCCTGTGACATTTTACCTTTGTAATCAGGTCTGAGTGCCTGATGATGGCGCGGATGAAGAACCTGTGGTCTGTCACTTCTGCACCTTCCTTCACCTTGGCAGCGCCCACGTAAAGATGCATCTTGTGGTTGGCACAGGGCACGGCCTTCAGATCAAAATTGCGCATCCGGCTAAGCTCCAGCTGGAAGGCCAGGGCGGGCTCCAGGTGACGGTAAATGCGATCTTCTGCAAACTGCAGGCCAACCAGAGAGAGAAGACAGAAAGACACGCATACACACACCGAGTTTGACACTGGGGCCACGAGCCTGCTTGGTCCACACCCTGCTCTGCAAACCCCTAGTGTCTACAGGTTTAGCATTCAGTCATTCTGTCACCTAACTGTGAACAATGCCCAGGGCTCAAGAGATTTGAGATGTTGCGAAGGTCCGGAGGACAGCCACAGCATGCAAGTCTGGTGGGCTGGCATAAGCCTCCTGGTCCCCAGATAAGCCCGGCTAGTCCCCAGCACCTGCCAGCACAAACAAGCTGTTCTTGATCTGTCACAGCACAGAGCATTTCTTAAGAAATCACTAACTCCCGGTTTCTTTGTGAAAACTGGCCAGAGAGAAACAACTGACAGTGCTGGAGACGGAACTGAAGAGAAAATGAAGAAGCTAGAGAAAGGATGGGTCTTAACTAGAGAAGGCTTTGGACAAACTAAAATACAAAAATCTGGTAGAGTCTTGAATCTATGTTGGGAATGAGTCCATCTGTTCTAGAAGAGAGAGCGGCAAACTCTTCCTTCAAAAGCCAGAGGGCTGATGGACCACAAGGTGTGTCATGACTACTTGAGAGAGCCACAGTAGACCGTAGGAGACCACACGGGTATGGCCGTGTTCCAATCAGACTTTGTTTATAAAAGCAGGTGGCCGGTCTATAAGCCATAGTTTGCCAATCACTGTTGTAGAAGAACGTACGTAAAAGAGGTTGGGAGGACCATCTTACTGAGTCCACCAGCAAGTATAAAAATTGTCCACGTGAGGCGTTTGTAGTGAAGGCTGAGAGGGCGGGAGGCGTGAGGTCTGAGCTCCACACAGAAATACAGGGTTCTTATTGGAAATAAAACCCCAGAAGAAAGACAGAGTCTGCCCAAAAGTTCCCATGTTCTAGAACACAGGAATACCTTGAGGACTGGGATATTCTTCCTGAATGTCAAAAAAGGCTAGAGAAGAGAGAACAAATATTGCTTTTGGTCATACCTCATCTCTTGCTCTGAATGTGAAAAACTTGGGAAATTCTTTCTGCAAAAAGAAATCCATACAAAAGACAATTAAATCAAGCACGACTCATTTGAACATTTGTACACTTGTTTTTAACAATAACTCCATCTGCTTCTAGAGTGAATCATTTGGAAAGCCATCTCTTTTCCAGCAATTGATCTCTCCCACTCCAATCTACAGAGTAAACGTCAAGTGAATGGCACTAAGTCTCGAAGAACAGAAAAAAACTCATTCGATGCACTGCAAATCGGACTGACCTCTTGGGCGATCAAGAACGTGATTCTTCGGAGTCCGTAATCCACAAGGATGTTTTTCTGCATTAAAAACCAAACACACAACAGAACTGTATTTAGCCACAAAAAGGAATAAAGTCCTGATACGTGTTACCACGTGGATGAACCTTGAAAACATTATGCCGAGTGAAAGATGCCAATCACAAGAGACCTCATATTTCATGATTCCACTTACATGAAATATCCAGAAAAAGCAAATCTATGGAGTTAGAAAGGAGATTAGTAGTCGCCTATGGCAGCAGGGGAAGGTGTTGGATTGAAGAAAAATAGGCAGCAACTGCTAACTGGTACAGGGTCTGGGAAAGGGGGTGATGGAAATGTTCTAAAATATAATAATAATGATGCTTATACAACTCTATAAATATATCAAAAAACATTGAACTGTATACTTTAAATGTAAGAATAGTAGGGTATGTGAATTATATTCAATAAAGCTGTTATATTAAAAATACATATATACTTTTTTTTAACATTTCATGAAATCTTTAATGAAATTGGCAGGAAGGGGCACTCTTATATTAAACTAAAGAAGAAAAAGATGAGTAAATTATTCATTTACCCAAAATTCAAGAACAGACCAAACTAATCTCTATTGTTAGAAGTTAGAACAGTGGTCGATCATCTCTGTAGGAGGTGGAAGGGGTAGAGGCCGGAAAGAGAATTGAGAAGGGGCCAGAAACATTCATTTCGTGATCTGAATGCTGGTTATACTTGGGAATTCACTGGGAAAAATCATCAGGCTATACATTTATGATTTGTCCACTTTTCTGTATGTTAGACTTCAATAAAAAACCATGCAAGAAAAGTACAAAACTGTTTTTAGCCTTCCCCTAAACAAAAGAAATACTATCAAATACAGTTTTATAGAGAAAGAAAAAAACTCAAAAGACAAAAAAAAACCCCTAAGGACATTAATTTGTTTATATGGTAAGAAAAATTATTCGGGGAAATGAATAGTCTTTGCCCATTTCTGAAAGAGATAAGTAGACGTGCACGAAGGACTGAAATTAATGGGATGTAGGCTGGAAAGCGAACAGGAGAAACTGGAAAATGAAGAGGATTCTAATGTGGGGAAATGAGCCTGGTTATGGGAGCCTCATTTTTTTGGTTTTCAACTAAAGGTGTGCATGAATGTGTGCATGTGAATGTATGAATGTATATGTAAATGTGTGTGTCAATGTACACATGTATCTGCTTAATGTAAAAAATTTTAAGTCATGTAGAAATATATAACATAAAACTTCTTTCCTGTCTCCCAGTAGGTGTATATTTTTCTAGCTGTCCTCTCTTCAGTATGTCTCTGTCTCTGTCTGTTTGTATGTCTCTCTCTCTCTCTCTCTCTCTCTCTCTTCTAGCTGTCCTCTCTTCAGTAAGTCTCTGTCTCTGTCTGTTTGTATGTCTCCCTCTCTCTCTCTCTCTCTCTCTCTCTCTCTGTATATATATATATATACATACATACATACACACACATACATATATACACACATATACTTTATTCATACAGAGATACCCACACTTAATCTTTTCTAGCTCATGGATATCTTCCTGGGTTGGTATTTAGAAAATGGTTTCTTCCCTTTCCACAGCCACATGACAACCAAGGTGTGGTTATCCACACTTTCCACAGGTGATTCTGACACTCCTCCCACCGACTTCACTGAATCAAGTACCCTGAGTGTCATTTGTATAGAGAGGCAGGTGAGCTTCCAATCAGTTCTAATGTCACCTTATCTGGGCGACAGGCTGCCAAGCTGAAAATCCAGTAAGGACATTGGTTACGTCAAGAAGGAACAGGCTGGGGGAACTATGCCAATACTTTCAGAGTGGCCTCTGGCTGGTGGGACTGTGGGTTTTGTTTTAAAACCTACTTTTCAGATTTGTCTACGCCTGAAACATTTTCTACAGTGAACATCATTAACTGTTGATTAACCAAGAAAAAGCTAAGTAAATCACTAATAATGATGTCCCCAAGCTTTATCCACAACTCAGCATCTTTGATCCATCTCCTGTCCAGGAAGCACCAGGCCATGTCCTTTGAGGGATGCCAAGTCAGAGGAGGTAAGAGTTGTCCCTTCCGCCAGGATAATACAGGGAATATAACACAAATGCAAAGAAATGGACTAAAAAGTAACAACGGAAAACTTCCAAGTGTTCCTAAAGTTAAAACCAAGTCACTAGGGCCAAGAACTAATATCCAGCCAGTGTTTAATTTATGAGCTAAGAATCTCAGCATCCCATTTTACAGATGAAGAAACCAAAGACCAGAGAGGTACAGTAACCTGCCTGAGGTCACACAGCACCTTCCTGCTGTTTCTACTACCAGTATTTGCCAAGATGCTCCACATCTGTTTGTGGCTGAGGTCCCTGAGCATACATAAGCACTGTTCCTGCTGCCACAGTGAGAATATATGCTGGCAATGGCCACCACATGCTTATAAAAGCAACCTGCAGTTGCTTGCATATATAGATGTCAATGTAAGTGACCATTTTAAAATTGTGAGTTTTCTGGGTTATCCCAACAAAAACATTCTCCCAAAACCCCAAACTATTCATTGAATGTGTCTTCTGTGCTAAGTGATATATATACTGTGTCATTTCGTCATTGCAATACCCTGGGAGAGAGAAATGCCTCCCCCATGTTATGGGAAGAAGCTGAGGCTCTGCCACGTTCACCACCTCTTCCCAAGGTCATTGGCAATGAGGAGTAGTAGAGCTAGGATAGGAAGCCAAGTCTATGGCTCTGAAGCACTCAGCAGGTCTCAGGCATAAGAGACATCTTGCCAAGACAACCCTCTGCTCACAGGAACACAGAACCAGAGGCATGCCCAGTCTACCTTGGACTGTACGAACGTCCGCAAAATCGGTACCAGCTTCTCATCTTCCAGGTGGTCCGCATACTGGATGGCCACGTTCAAGATATGGATTGGCTCTTCTCTCAGGTTCTAAGAGAAATAAACAAAAGTGAGTGATAGAAGGACCTGGGGCCCCAGCCCACCCCCTCCTCAGCTTGCTCCCTGCTCAGACACTTACTTTGCCATCATCCTCAGAGTACAAAGAAGTTTGGGCCTTGCTGAAGATGGGGGTGTCTGTGAGCACATTGGCAAAGCAGGAGATGACTTCGTCGAAGTTCCTGGGGGCATAGGGCAGAGAGGGAGAGCTGAGGGGCTGCTTCCTCCACAGGGTTGTAGATCAGACCCAGGCCCTTCCTCTTTCCCAACCACCACCCTGCGAGCTCATCCAACTCTGCGCAGAGCTCATTTGGTTCCTGACCATTTATTTCCAAGGCACCACTGATGGGGTCTTTCCCAAAAAGGAAGAATAAGCCCATGTTGTCTGAAAGTGTGAATAAAAGAAAGGCTGTCCAAACTCTGGGGCATCAGCTGGGGCCCCCTTTTACTATCTGGGAGACCCTCACAACCTCTCTCATCTCTCCTAGTCAACTGAGAGTAACAGAAGTAACCACTACACATGCTAAGGCTGCTGTGAAGATCTAAGACAATCCAAGCATGATGGATAATATGCAGGAACAATTCAAAAAAGGGCAATAATAATAGGACTGACTGCTGACATTTATTGAGAATGTTATTTACTATCAATTATACTTTAAATACAACATTTAATATGCACTACCCTGATTAATTATCTTGGTGAGCCAATGAAGTAGGTCCTTCTCTTATTTCCATTATACAAATAACAAAACTAATGTACAGAGAGAGCGTTAAGTAATTTGCTCAGTCTCACAGTTAGGAAGCTCAGAGCCAGAATTCAAGTGCAGGCAGGCTGACACAGAAGCCCACTCTCTTGGCTACGCTGATATTATATTATTATTATTAACTCACTGTGCCATGTGTCTGGGCCGCCCCCACCCCATGTGTTACATGAACAGGTAGGGGTCAGGGAAACTATGCTTGGCTCTTCTGCTCAGGGTGTTTGGGAGGCCAGGCCATGCTGGGTACCTGGTGAATTCCTCGAATCTCCTGAAGGCGACCATGGCCCCCAGCCGCTGGCACAGAGGGGAGAAGCCACTGTCCATGAAGAGCTCGGTGCTGTGCCTCAGCAGGTCGGGGTTGGTGACATTGATGGGCATGGCTATCCTGCAGGGGGACGGGACGTGAAGTCAATGAGGCCCCTGTTCGCAGATCTGGCCTCAAGAGCTGTTCCTGCCCTGGAAACTTCAGTGAGCCAGACTAGCATTAGAGCCTCCCCAAAATGGGTGCTTAAAATTGGGGGTGGAGGGTACAGAGGTCAGGGCCAGGGGCTGAGGACTAAGAGCTCAACAAGTGAGTGAATGAATGAACGGTGCTTGCATACAAGCATATGTGTCCAGCCCCAACATAATCCCCAGGTAAATCTAAAGTAGTGAACTCAGCACAGAGAATGAACACTCTCAGCGTCAGTTTATCCTGGAGAGCCCCAGCCCTGGGAGCCTGGTGAGGGGCAGGCTTGTCGAGTGACACTCCAAGCCTCTGCTCCCCTAAGCCCTCCCAAGCCATCACACCTGCCCTCGGGACCGGGCCAGAAACCAAACCTGGCCCCAAGGCCAGCAGCTCATTAGAGTTCAGCCGGCCACAGCTCCCAGGACTGGCTGCTCACCAGGAGCAGATCCAAGTGGGCCACTTGGAGTCATTAGAACTGGGTCCTAGAATCAAACAAGGAGGGGTTGTTTATCATATGGGGTATAGACAAGAGTCAATAGAGCAGGCCTGAGGCTACCCTCCTGGAAAGGAGACCTGCTTGCAAGGCTGGGCTTTGGATGGCGTCTAAGAACTTGAATTGGGGGAGGGTTCCCACCACTCCCTAAGTGATAAGGGAGGGTCACTGTGCCCTAGTTGTTTGTACAGTGTGGTTTATGCTGAGCACCTGCTTTCCCTCTGGACTCTGGGATTTGGGTATGTGCTCAGCAGAGGGCACAGGCGTGACCAGCTCCCAGTGAAAACCCTGGGCGCTGAGTCTCTAACCATCTGCTAGACAGCATTTCACACCTGGTCACGACTCTTTGCTGGGGGAATGAAGCGCGCCCTGTGTGATTGCACCGGGAGAGGACTCTCGGAAGCTTGTATCTGGTTTCCTCTGGACTTGACTCTGTACCCCTTTTTCCTTTGCTGATTGTATTTTGTGTCTCTTCACTATAATAAGTCACAGGAGTGAGCATGGCTAACTACTGAGTCCTGTAAACCTTCCTAGTGAATCATCGAACCTGGAGGTGCCCTTAGGGACCCGTGACCCAGGTGAAGCCGGGGCTTGTGACTTCCTGTTAGATACTTCTGAAATCATCATCCAGGCCCTCTGTTCTGCACGAGTAAATGCAGAGGTAGCAAACTGGCATGGAAGCATGGGCTGAATTCCGCCCACAGACTGACTTTAGTTTATGTAGCATTTTTAATATATTCCTATACATTAATTCCCTGCCCATATAGCAAAGTTGAGGAATTGCAGATTTTTTGAAGTCTAGATGCCTTGCTTCTCTTGAAAAAAAAACATGGAAAGGTTTGGCCTCGCTGACCTGTTTTCCTGTAGGGCAACAACCAGTGGGCTAGAATAGCACCCTTTAGGCAAAGGCTGTGCTCACAGCGCCCCCTTATTCCTGGACCTAAGTCCTGGCTGCAGCCCACATGAATCCCTTGCTGTCCTCCCATCTGTCTTCCCCATGGTCTCCTGACCCAATTCACGACATGCCTGGCTCTATAGACACAGGTGTGGAGGGTTTAGTCAGGTCCTGCTGGGAGATGAGGCTTCATTCCTCGTGGCTTTTCCCATAGTTATTTTAGAGTAGGGTTGTGGGGCAGCTGCAGGTGGGGTCTCCTCTGAGGCCACAGGCCCCAAAGCTTCTGGCACTTCCAGCTGATAGCAACAGCGAGAACCTGAGAGAGTCAGGGAATCCCCCCAGGCCATCGACATCTTTCTGCGTGAAAACAGGATGCTGTGCCCACGCTGAGAGTCAGAAGCAATAATCCTGACACACGTGTAGGTCCTTTCTAAAAACAAGGCGTGACTGACCCACAAGGCTTCAGGACAGCCGCCCTTCCTTTCCTAACCTAGATGAACTGCAGAGACAATGAAATCAAAAAAGAGATTCTCCTCAGGAGCAGACAAATCAAAAGTTCTCACATCACACCTCCCACAGTCCCCAAAATGATTCCAGGCCATAAGCAATCAGTCCCCTTTTCTCTTCATGGGGCAAAATTTTCCCCCTGGAAATAAGAAGGGTAAAAATAAATGATAAATATGAAAGGAGGTGCCCCATGGGGAAGTACTTCTTTTCCTCATCCATAACAGAGCAACACCTTTGTTCTTGAAACCAAAGGAAAGAGAAACATTTTTTTAAATCCCAAAAGAATAGAAAGTTCTCGGCTTCAAGAAAACATGGACCCTGTTGCCCGTAGAGATACAAAATCTGATCAACTCGACAGCTAAATCACGATGAAACCATTCTAGCCGCAAGCAAGGCCTTTGAGAACTCCCATGAGAACCAGAAACATAAGGATGACAAGGAAGTGAATGAGAATGTGCCACATCCCAGGTAGACATATTGCTTTAGTAGAAGGTACCACACTCTACCTGATCAGAGGGGTACTTCGGGTCCTGAAATAAGATGGATTAGAAAAGAGAGGGTGAGTAAGCAACAAAGACATACGATGACGTCCCCAACTGAGAATATCATGGGGATCCAAAAAGACCAACACATGTACCCCTGCTGCCAGCTCTGGAGGGCCCTCGAACGCTGTGGAAAGAACTCTGAGGTGAAAGCATGACCTGGGCTCATGTTCCCATAATTTGGAAGTGAAGTCCCTAGGGCTCATCTACAAAATGAAGATGAGAACAAATTTTTGACTGACAGATGGTGAGGGCTGAATGAAATAGAGTGTGGAAGCACTCAGTGGAGGCTTGACCAACGGCATGCCAGGGGGACAGTGACAATGGTATCGGACATCATCGTCACTGGGATCCCTAACTTACGTCGACGACTTTCTGTGTGCCAGGCACTGTCTTAAATGCTGCACGAGCCTCATCTCATCTACTTTTCAAAATGGCCTATGATAACACTGTCCAACAGAACTTTCTGTGGTGATGGAATGTTCTAGAACTGTACTGTCCAATATGACAGCCGCAGGCCACATACGGCTCCTGAGCACTTTAAATGCAGCTGGTATGAATAAGAAACTAAATTTTTAATTTTCTCTCATTTTAATTTAAATAGCCCACGTGTGGGTAGTGGCTACCATACTGGACAGTGCCAGGTGTATGAGGTAGGCATCAGATTATCTCCATTTTGTAGGTGAGAGAACAGAATGTGGGAAGATGCCACAGTGGGGAAGTGATGTCCCCAACATCTCCCCAGCAGTGTTTCCAGACATACTTGTTGGGCCCCTCCAGAGACAGGACTACAGCAGTCAGGGAGAAAAGAAACATGAGCCCCCCACCCCCTGTCCTGGGTGTGGACCACTCCATACCGGTTTGGGTGGGAGGAGGGCAGCATGAACTGGAATTCCACCACACAGGTGCCATCCGGGAGCTGCCGGTGCTGCAGGCTGTTTAACTCATAGGCGATGTAGGCCCTCCGCACATACACCTAATGGAGCGGAAGCACAGTGGACATTCTCTCAGAGGGCACAGCAGACTACACTTTCAACCCGAGGAAACTCAGGTTGGAGAAATGATCTCTAAGCAGTAGTTAAGAGCAAATCTGTTCACGTTTCAGAATGTTAGTTTCTCTGCAAAGAGCTAGATAGTAAATATTTTAGCCTTTGTGGGATATATCATCTCTATCTCAAATACTCAATTCTGCTGTGGTGTCACGGGAGCAACCATGGACGATATGTAAATAAATGGACATGGTTGTTCCAATAAAACTTTATTTACAAAATCAGGCGCCCGGGCCGGGGGTTGGGGCGGGGGGAGCGGGGAGGGTGGAGGGGCTGTGCAGATGTGGCCTACGGGCTGTCGTAGTTTGCCGACTCCTCCTCTAGAGCAGCACTGTCCAACAGAAATATAACATGAGCCACATATGTAACTTTAACTTAAAATTTTTTAGTAGCAACTTAAAAAGAGGCAACAGGTAAAAATAATTTTAATAATTTCATTTCATCCCCAATACCTAAAATAGTCTCATTTCAACATGTAATCAATATAAAAATTATTGAGGTATTTTAAATTCTTTCTCCATACTGAGACTGTATTTTACACTTAGAGCACGGCTCAATTCAGACTAGCCGCATTTCAAGTGCTCACTAGCCACGTGTGACCAGTGGCTGCCATATTGAACAACACAGTTCTAGAGTTTTAGCACTGGGAGTTTTTTTTAACTAAACAGAGAATACAAGGACTGTGTAGAGGTAACACAGCAGGGCTAACTGCTATTCTATGAAAGGCTTGCTTCAAGGTTGGTCCTTGGCTACCGTCTGGGAACTTGGATTTTAGAAAAGTTCCCACTATGCCTTGATAAGAAAGGTTCACGGTGCCTAAACTGCTCAAACACTATGATTTATGTTCGACATGTGCTTTCTTTCTAGGAGTTTAGAATTTTGGTACGTGCTAGGCAGGCGGTGCTTACATATAAAAACCCTGGGTGCTGAATCTCTAATGAACTTCACTTCACGTGTACTGTCACAACTGGCTGCTCGAAGAATTGGAAGTGCCTGGAGGACCACTGGAAGCTTTTGCCTTGTTTCCTCTGCACTTCACCCCATGTGCCTCTTCCCCCTGCTGATTGTTTTGTGTCCTTTTGCTGTAATAAGTCACACACAGCCGTGAGCACGACTATATGCTATGCCCTATGAATCTTCCTAGGGAATCGTTAAACCTAAGGGTGGTCTTGGGGGTGTCAGACACATTTAAAGCAGGGACAAAACTCTGCACTTTTCAAAACACCAAGTACAATACTCATCTTGAGTCATGGAGAAAAGGTTGGACTATGTTCCACAAATCTGCTGAATGAAGTGATGGAATGTGTAAAGAACTCTAGAAAATTCTCTAACAGAAATAAATGGGATTTAGCACTTCAAAAAGAAGGTGGGCTGCTGCTTTCCACCTGACATAGGATAGGTGCTTGGACAACAGGTGGCAACGGTGACCAATATCCACTTCAGGTGTTTACTCATTTACCTTCAAATTATCCTGTGAGGTAGATGTTATTGCCCCCACCTAAAGCATGAGAATCTAAAAGTCCAGAGAAGGAAAGCAACTTGCCAGAGGTCACGCAGCTCCAACCTTGACATATGCTGTTCCCACTGACTGGAATCTCTCCGCTTCTCCCTCCCACCAATTCTTACTCACTCTTCAGATGCTTGCTTTCATACCACGTTCTCATCAAAGCCTGAGTTGAACCTCCTGGTAAGATTAAATCCTGCTGTCCAATTCTCACTCTAACTATATTTTCCCCCTGCAGCCCTACTCCATGTGTGATTAAAAGAATATTTAACGTGTGCCTCTCCCCAACCAGAGAAGCTCCAGAAGGCAAAAACTATGGCTGTTCCCTGCTATATCTCCAGCACCTGGCACACAGTAGGTCTCAATAAATACACTGAAAATTGAAGACAAGAAAAAGTAAGTACCAAAAGAGCTGTACTGGGTCTCACTGCCGGAAACAAAGTGGGATCTGAGGAGGATTCTTTGAGTTGAAACCAGGGAAGGGGTAAAAACTGCAGGCCCAGGAGAAGACTCTGTGGGCTGTCATATGCTCACAAGCCCAAAATGGTCTCCATGGAGACCCAGGCAACCTCCTGGCAACAGGATGGGGGACTCGCAGGGCCTAAAAGATGGCAGAAGAGGGAGTGGGGACACCGAGGGACCGGGACTCCAAGACCAAAGGGTGAAGAAATGAGGGAAAACTATCAGAGGAAAAGAGGTTGAAAACACAGGACATCACATATTTCCTTGAAAGGATTCTGAAAGAGCAGATTAAACACCGCGATGCCTTGACACAAAACACCCCTCGGCCCCTGAATTAAGGAAGATGGAAGCTGAGGCAAGACGACTGAGCTCTAATTTGGGTTTTGCTGCTGGTCGCCCCTTCTCTGCCCTATCAAACAGAGAGGTCATCTTAAATTGTTACCTAGGCCCTTCCAGCTCTTGTAGTTCTAAGTGGAAGTCTTTCAAAGGTATCTGATGTAGGTGAGTTGGAAAGTTTGGACGAGGTGACTTGGCCTTGGCTCTTGGGGGTTAATGTTTAACTGTGCCCTGCCTAGAAGAGGCAGGAATGGCAAATGAGACAGCAGGGTTACCAGCAAGGACTCTGGACTAAGACAGATCTAGTATGAATCCTGGTTCTGCCACTTCCTAGCTGTGTGACCTTGAACAAGTTGCCTTACCTCTCTAAGCCTTAGAGTTCCCTCCTCTGTAAAATGGGGATAGTAGGGTACCTACCTTATTGGGAGAATGATAAGATCATGTTTGTAAGGCATGTGGCCTGGGGTTAAGTGCATGGATGCTAGAACTGGCACGTGTGGTACCGTGCTGTTATATGGGCCTTTCCCACTTACCTCCAAAGATGCCATGCAGACCACTTTGTTAGTGTGATAGAAGAAAGTGGGCAGGACATCAAATATGGTCGTTTCTGAGAGTATTAATTTCTAAAGGAAATAAGGGAAAAAAGGAAAAACAAATGTTAAAAAGTTTTAACCAATAGTCAGATGAGTGGGAAGAGTGGAAGGAAGCAGGGGGCAGAAGCCAGCGGTGTTATCATGAAATGCTGCCAGTGCCCCAGGCCTCTAAGATCCAAAAGTGGAAGCAGCCCTGGGCTGACTGCACCTGGGGGGCTCCTAGTTTCAGACAGAGTGGGTACCTGGAAGCTTGTAAATGAGCCAGAGTCGGGAGGCCCTGGGAATATGAAGCCATGACTCAGCCACGTGAGGCTCCCAGCTTCCAAAAATGCTCCATCACACCTGAATTTTAAAAGTCATACCTCCCAGGCCGGCCTACTATCTGAGCCTCTCCTGTAACCGCCTTGGGCAGCTCTGGCCGCACCAGACTAAACCACTGGTATTTGCGACTCTGTCCTACACCCGAGTGCCAGCACGCTGAGGACATGGGGTGCTTGTGTCCCCCAGGGTTCCACCTGGGCCGCAGTATGTGCTCTGTGGAAGGTGGATGGAGAAGCCTCACCTTGAGGTTGTCTGGGCAGAACTGGTGGCCGTACATGTCAATGGCAGACAGGAAAATGGACTCCACCTGGTTGTGCCTCAGCTCATAGGAGGGGAGGTGGGAGGCAATCAGGATCTGCACGGGGAGAGGACAGAGGGGCTAGGTTGAGCCAACTTTACGAGGGAGAAGCCAAGGGCTGGGCCCATCAGGTAGGACATGGGGCAGCAGCAGAGGGGCTGTGCACAGTGAAGGTCAAGCATGGTGGGGAGGGCAGCACCCTGAGACGCCCATGCAAAGTGGGAACCACCCCACATAATCCTACCTGTCTGGCTCTGAGGGCCACTTTGCAATGCTCACTCTTGCTCAGCTGAGTGAGGTCATTGAGGATGGAGGTCAGTTCCTCTGACAAGGAAGGGTCTGGGCCACAGAGCTCATCCTTTGGGGGAGAAAACAAAATCCAACTGGCTTGTTTCACCAAAAGAAAACACGCCAGCCCTCACCCTCTGCCGGGGGTGCAGTGCCCTGGCAAACCAGACAGCTAGCTACCTGGTACAGCCTGATGCACATACCCTTACCCCTTTCCACTGTGTACCCCCCCATGCATTCATTCATTCACCCATTTATCCACTCCAAAACATGCCCTAAGCACCAGGTAAGAAGGAAAACACATCTAAGTCTCTGGCTGCATCACTATTAATGGCCAGCAATTATGAGGTACTTACTATGAGCCAGGCAAACAGCTAGACTCGACATTCATCTCCCCAAATTCTCCCAAGCCACTGAGGAGTTGCTATCATGATCCTCATTTTACAGGTGAGACATAATATGCCTTGCCCCAAGTATGTCAGGAGTGCCTGGCATATAGTAGGTGTTTTGTGAGTGTCAATTATGATCCCCTCTAGGGACTGACAAATCGCACCCACTGACTGGTTTTATGTTTATCATGCCCACGGTTAGTTATGCCCACTTATGTTGTACAAAGTCAGCTTTGAGAGATCAGGACAGAGACCATATGACCAGCGAAACCTAAAATATTTACTCTGGTCCTTTCCAGGAAAAGTCTGCAGACCCCTGAGCTACCCCCGCTCTAGGTACAGGGTGCCTTTTCCTGCTTACAATCAACATGATCACCAGCTGGTTCTTCTTAGCCACCTGCGCATGAGAGAAGATGCAGTCCAGCACCTGGGACATATCTGGCTTCAGCTGTTCCCTGAGGTTTATCACACACTTGTCGTAGTGGGCTACAGGGAGACAAAAGGCCGCAAGAGGATAAGACTTGGGGCCCTGCACGCCCTGTGGGTTTGTCATCAGTGCCAGCGGCGACTCTTGCCTTGTTGGAAATGGTGCTCAACTTGTAAATATCTTCGCAGAAGATCCAACACCACTGCCTTCATGTAGCCAGGGGTCCCACTACGGTATCTGGGGAGCAAAGGAAGGCTGCTTTAATGATCAACTCTACCTCTTGGGGAGCCTGAATATCTACAGCCAGGGCTTTTAGGATTTCAAAAAGAAGAAAACTAATAAAGTATCTGGTGGCTGCACCCCTTTAATCCTTAGGCCTGGGAGGGATATGTGAGTTGGTTCCTTGGCTCTAACTCTATAGGCCAAAGAGAACAGTGACTTGCCCAAGGTCATACATCAAACCAGAGGCCAAGACTGGACCTTTGGATGGCACCTGCCCCATCCCTAGAGAGAAGGAAAAAGACTTACAGAACTGAGATACTGAAAGGGGTCAGCCTTGCATGCATGGTTGAAAACAAAAATTTTCAATTTAATGTATAAAATCTAATATATAAAAAAATTTGGGAAAAAAAACAAAGCTTGACATTTGCCTAAAGAGTTCTGTGTAAATTTCACTTCCCTTTTAAAACCAAATTTTAACCTGGACGCTCCCTAAATCATTTCCTCTTCTAAATCATTTCTGAACACAGGGAATGAAGTCTCTTAGGAGATATAACACCGAGTTTTAGCGAAGTTGAAACCAGCTTAACCCCAACACCACCAAAGAGCAACATAAGGACGTAAAGCGCTCATTTATTCAAATGTGATTAAAAATATACACACAGCATAGGAGAGATATTTGATATTTATGTTCAACAAAGAAAAATCTGCTAGGGAGTTCGATTAATTTATTTGTCCATTTCTTCTAGGTGTTTCTCTGAAGCTAAAGGACAGGTTTAAGGTTAATGGTTGAAGTATCCCAGGGTGGGGATGCCTTCCTAGGCCTTGTCTGTGAAACTTTCTCTTTTTGGGGAATCCACACCGAGATCCCTGTCCTCAGCTGCAATCCTGTATTGTCCCCATGAGCTGGGGAATCCCCTGAAAAGGACTGTCTCCTATAGGCCTACAATCTCTGTAACTCTGACAGTTTCTAGAAGACAGTACACAAGAGCCGAATTAACTCACTCCAGTCTTCAATTGTCTTTATAAGTAAAGCTTTCTTGCTGAGATTTTGCATGCAAAATGGAGGTTCTGTTTATCATCAGACTAGGTTTCTCTGCTCAATAGCTATTTAAGGTAAAATACAAATTCTTCATCAATTCTCCTTTGCAATGATGCCCCAAAACCACAATAATTTGTATAATCTTTTGCAACACATAAAGCCATTCTGTTGCATTGTCTCGTAGTCAAAGCTGCCACAAGGACTCGATATCAGCACTTTACAAAAATTAATCTGTTCAGACTTATCATGTGTGAGGTGTTTTCATTCCCATTTTCAAACTGGCAAACTGATATTCACAGAAGAAAGTTCCTTGCCTGGGGTTCTGCCGTTAAGAATGACTATGCCAAGACTGTAATTGGGGTCTTCACACCCCACACGCTTTCTGCCACTTTGAACCTCCCTTTAAGAGAACCCCAGAGCGCCACCCTGGTGCAACACACAGGCCGATTTGATGTCTCAACCACACCCCACAGAGGGCCCAGGATTCACCTCTGAACCAATTGCACGATGCTCTGGGTGTTCATAAAGAAGACCTCCCGGTCAGCCTTCCGTTGCAGGGTGGCTGCGTGGCAGTCCAGGATGGCGGCTATCTGGACAGGAAAAGAGGACAGGTGGGCCACTCACAGCCATACAATCTGGTCGCCACACAGAAGTCACTGGAAGGACCTCCCCACCCCCCACCCCCACAGGCTCCCATGGAGGTCCCATCCAAGGCTCATTTGAAAAGAGAAAATTCCAGCCTCAAAGCCCTCCAGCCACCCAGAAACGGTTCTGTTCATCCCACTCAATGTACTGCTTGAGGAATTCAAGAGCCCAGAATGACAGTGATGACACAGGGATATACGTACATTCATATGATACCTCGCCACAAATATGGACGTTCTGGGAAAAGAGAAGGGAATTTCCAACCCCAGGGAGTATGAGGGTGCTGGGTGGGGAGGGGTCCTATTTTTATAATTAGATTGAATGTTATTGGCATATTATGTTTGGCAATAAAAATATTTTTAATGAATAAATCTGCAACAATGACAAATTCCTGAAAGGTCCAAACATGTACTTTTCTCAATTGGTGTCTTTAGAGTTTTGCTTTGTTATTTCTTAGTTGAAATATAATTCATATACTAGAACATCCCCCCCCCTTTTAAAGTATACAATTAATTTGGTGGATTTTAGTATATATAGATTTATTCAGACTGAATGGGAGCCGAGTTCCTAAGGAGCCACCTGGCCCAGCGCCAGCACCCCGATGGGGCCAGGTGGAGGGCACATACCTGCTGGCTGGGGAACTGGCACAGCACTGAGGTGATGTTGCTGGCATACTGGGCCATCACCCTGCGGACCGACTTCTCCACGGAGGCGGGGATGCGGCCTGACACGCTGGTCATGATCTCTTGCAGCTCTAGCAGCGGCAGTGATGGGTGTCGGAGAGTCGCCATGAGCTTCTGCACCCACTCCTTCAGCTGCAGCAGGGACCACAGCATCAGCCTGAGGCCTTGCAGGGGCATGGGTACCACCACCCACCCATCCAGGTGAGTGCACTCAAGCAGCTCAAGATCTGGACCCAGTAGACTCTGGGACAGTCTTGAGTGGAATGGCTCCCTGATCGCAAGGGGAATACCCAGTTTCTTCACCCAGGAAGGCCCCCACTCCCATCTGCCTGTATCCAGACAGCCAATGTGGTACAGGGATAAAACATAAGACCACGTGAAGGGCTAAAGTTTGTGGGACACTTGCTTAGACCAGACACTCTTCTAATGACCTTTATTTGCATGTTCTCATTTGATCCTTGGAAACAACCCTACAAAGTAGGCATAATCCTTATTTCCATTTTATAGATGAGAAAACGGAAACAGACAGGTTAGTGAAGTTACCCAGTCATCCAGCAAAGCCAGGATGCAAACCCAGGCCATTTAGCTCCAGAGACTATTAACAGCTGCTCTTTATTGTTTCCCGGCATCCCAGGAGTCAATATGTTGATGGTTTTTGAATGAGTAGGATAACGGTACCAACTCCATAATGTGGTTGTGAGGTTTAAAAATGAAATGATGCACACACTGGCGAGTGCAAAGACTAAAATAAATGTTGCAATGACAGCAATCACAACTAGGAAGCACAGGATCGGGGTTAGGAACATGGACTCTGAAGCCAGATGGCCAACGTTCAAATCCGTATTTGGCTCTTTATGGGTGAAACTGGCAAGTTTCTTAGTCTCTCTGTGCCTCAGTTTCCTCACCTGTAAAACTGAAGTAATGAGAGTTTCTACCTCATAGGCTGAAGATTAAATTACCATACATTTTAAGTGCTTAAAGCAGCAGCTGACACATAGTATGTACTCGACGAAGGTTGGCCATTTTTACTGCCACCATCACCATGATTTGCTATTCTGAGATGGAATGTGATGCAGCACAGTTTTATCACTACTGATGTTGGGTCTTTCACAGAGGTCTGCAAATCTGAGAACTTCTTATTTCTCTACAGAGTGAGTAAACGGGACCCTGGGATGGTTAACAACGAGTAGAGTTGTGTTTCTGAACACAGCACCTTCCCCTTTAAGAGGGGTGACCCCTCTAACTCCTTTAAGAGGGTGACCCCCACTAACTCCTCTCTTAACTTACTACTTCAATGTTCTCAGTGTCAAGCTGAACTGAATCCCAAAACCCAAATGTCACTTTTACAACAATTTATAATCAAAGAGAAATGTCCATCAATGTTTACAAACTGAGGAATTCTCTGAGAACAGGTCCTTTATAAAAACAATGGTGGACTAACCTTTTTCTCATTCCTTACATCAATAAAGACCTCTGATCTCATGGAGAAAATGAGATCTAGCTCTTCGCATGGACCTAAGGTAGTAGAATACACACCTACCTTTTACATGTGACCTACCTTTATGCTAAAAATAGGCTCTGGCAGACAGTAGCCGCTCATGATGTTAGTCAGGTTCTCCAAGACGCTGTGGAAGACCTGGTGCAGCTTCTCCCCAATGATGGGCAGAGTTTGCTGGGAAGGGAGCTCTCCTGTGAACGGCTCAGCCTGATGAGATACAACAAGAACCGGGGGTCAAGGACATCGTGGCCTTCTGAATGAGGCAAGACAAGCCAAGGGCCAAGGCAGATCTACCAATCTCCAATATGCACAATACACTGAGGATGAAGCCTGGGGGTGGGAGGAACAGAAGAAAACATCGTATCTGAGAGTTAAAACTGCTAAATTCACAACTCACGTGGGTTCTCCAACTCAATCCCTTTGCAGATGTCATAGCAAATTATGTCCCCCAAATAATTTTGGAGGGGGTTAGACTTTTTTTGTTTTGCTTTGCTTTCTAACCAAGATTATCTTCTTATTTTCTCTATTTATTTTCAGTCCCAAAGATAAATACCTAGTAGGAAGAAAATTTTTGAAACTCTCATACAAATGTACCCGATTTTTGTAAATAATATTTAGCTTCAGAGGACCAACACATAAAAAGCTCCCCAAAGGGGCAACATAAACTTAATGTGCCCATTTGTCTATTAATAATTCAATAAATACCCACTAAATGCCGACTTTGTGTTAGGCACTAGGACTCAGAAAGTTTGGGACATCTGTTCTGCTGGCCTGGAACCCTCAGCTTCCTTGCCCCTTCCCCCCATTCCCAACTCTGCTGGCTCCTCCAGTCCTGGTACAGCTAACTGGAGGGTTTCCTTCTCCACGATGTGATTCTGGCTTCCCCATACGGCCTCCCGCAAGAGGAGTCTCCCTTACTGGACTTGCTGAGCTGAATTACAAGGGCTTATTTCATTGGCATATATGAGCCTGCAGGGACTGATGGCCTGGCCCTGTCTCACATACCAAGCCCAGGAAATGTTTGCTGAAAAGAATCACACTACAGGCACAGAAACCCTCCTAGCGATCTAAAAAGGCTCAGTCTATTTCTAGCTTTGAGAACCCCCTAAAGAGAATACTGAAAAGAATAAGAAGAAAAAGATGAAACTAACAGAACATCTGGAGGAAAGAAACGAACTGATTTTTTAAAATGTTTTTCTAGCTTTTTTCCTGGGCATATGCACTAATAAAATGGTAGAGAAAAGAACAATACATGCGTGAATGATGAGCAACCTCCCATATGCAAGGCATACTTAGGAAGGTCATTAACAAGACCTATTTCTGCTAAGTACTCTCTGTGACCAAGCACATATGACAGTGAGAGGGTGAGCCCTACAAACAACTAGGGGAAGGTCCTTCCAGGCAGAGGGAGCAGGCGCTACCCAGGTGGAGAGGTCTGCTTTGTTCCGTTAAGTGACAGGGAGAATGGATGAAGACAAAAAAGTGAGGACAGCTCATGTGGGGTCTTGCAGGTCATTGGAAAAACTCAGGTTTCATTCTAACCAGGATGGAGAGCCGCTGAGAGGGATTTGAGCAAAGGAGGACATGTTTCTGCACCCATCACACTGGCTACTGGGGTGCATGGAGGCAGGAGATCCAGGAGCCTCCAGTTGGCTTGGCTCACTGAACAGGCAGAGGTCACGAGCGTACCTGAGCCAGTCTGGGTGGCTGTTACGGGTGCTACATACCGGGCGCACTTTAGAAGGGTCATCAAGCTCCAGCTTGGCCACCACACAGCCTGCTTCCAGCACGGCTCCCGGGCGCTTGATATACTTCACATGGCCACTTTCCTGCACATTCAGGGCCATGATCATCTTCATCACCTGTTTTGCAGAAAGAAGAAATAAGATGGAGCGCACCAGGACTGGTCCAGGTGTGTGACACCCAGAGTCACCCAGAACTAGTAACTCTGGAGCAGGACCTGCATCATTTAAATAGAATGATGCCCTGGCAGAGTTCAAGTGGAAAGAATAGAGCAAACTAACAGTTATGGGAAACCTGCTGCATGCCAGGCATGAATCACCTCTATCCGCAAATCCAGCTGGGGAGGTAGATGTTTATTGTGCCCATTTCACAGACATGGCAACCCATCTTTCCTTTGGCAGTAAAGCTTCTCTTAGAAATACAGTTAAATCATATTATGTAGGGTGATTAATATACACGTTCCTAAAATGTGGTGGATTTTGTGACCTGCTGCTTTTCTAAAGGCAGTGAAGAGAAGCCCCTGCGGACACTTTGTCAAACAAAGAATGTGCTTGCAGTACAGTCAGTCACCAGCCCCTTTAACTGGCTTGAGAGCCTGAATATATGGACATGACGGGTTTTTGTTTCTGTGGCGTGGGCTACAGACACTTAGTACTGTGCTCCTTTTGCTCAGTTAGTTCACAGCTTGCACGCCCAAGTCAGTCCAGCAGGGGCTGTAACCCCAGCACCCTGCCCATCATTCTGTGACCTCCAGAAATGCCTTCTCCTCTCTGGGCCTCAGTTTCCCTTTTTGCAAAATGGGGAATAATGACAGTCTTGCCTCATGGGCCTCTTTAAGGAATCAGCATGATAAAGAACCTGACATATGGCACGAGACCAATAAAACTTGGCTCATTTTCTTTGGCAGCAAGAAATGAAGGCCAGATGTGAATCTTGGCCATACGTGACCTCAACTGAGATCCTTAGCCCGCCTGGGCACCATTTCTTTGTTTGTATAATGGGGTTCAAATTTGTGCCCATCTCCTATGATTGCTGGGATGATTAAAGAAGGTAATTTAAAATAGGTAAAATGCTCCGAATAGTGCCTGCCATGCGGTAAGTGCTTTGCAAGTGTTGGCTTAAGACTTTTTAATTGTCACCATCGTTATTAATCAGTTCTTACTCATTCCTGGGAGGTGTGCATTTTTGAGGTTTTCCCTTTGAATGTGGCAGGGAATCTGGGCTGACCCCCACACACTAGCTCTCTTATAAAGTCGCAGCTGGTGGCCCAGGTGAGAGGTGAAGCCCGTTTGCAAAAACAATGCCGGATGGGGGGCGGGGATGTGGGGGAGGCCTGAATGACCCAAGGGCCTGCTCCGTGCTCACCTCCATCTCGGCATAGCTGTCCCCAGCCTCCACGTGGCCCCCATCCTCCACCATGTACTGAACCAGCTTCCCAGCTGAGGGGGATCTCAGGACCGTGGGATCATTCTCCTTCTCAAATACACACATCTTGTTGCCAATGGTAATCCAGTAACTGGGAGAAAGAAGGAGCAGGGAGGTGGGGAGAGACTGGGGGGACCATCAACCCAGCGTGCTTGAGTCAGCGGTTCTATAGTCTTTTCTCTTCCTAAAGGCAGCCATGAGTGTCAGTCACCCTGTGTGTGGTATGGGGGATTCCACTTTCCCAAACGATGGCGTTTGACAATCACTGAAAATTTACCGGGCGTGAGTTGGGGGAGCAAAGGGAGGGACCCTTTTATGGCTGAAAACTAGTTCCTTTTACACACATAATTCCAACAGGCACAGAGAAACAATCAGTAAATATTATTCAATAAATATTTACCAACTGTAAGACTTCACCTTATCACTGAAATGGGGAGAGAGGATGCCCTATGGGTGGAGCCTGCAATAATCTTGAATATTCTTGGCAGATAGAACATGAGTTAAAAAGAGGGAATAAAATATTGCTCTGGGATGAATCTAGTCCACGTACCTGTTGATCTCTTCTTTCATGTAGGTTGTGTAGCTGCTGCCATTGTAGGACAGCAAAAGCCCGCCATCGTTTAGCCAGTGGGCATCGATCTCGATGTGACAGCCATTCATGATGAGGACAAACATGGTCAGAGACTGCCGGGCCACCTGTGGGGACAGGTGCAATGTCCCTACCTGAATTGAGGATGCCTGTGTGTCCCTTTGCCCCCAGAGCACCATGCGACCCCCTTGACCAGGAGCTAGAGCTAGTGTTCGTGGCGGGAGTGCCAGGGTGAACACCTTGCCTGTCTAGTCCCAGCTCTCAGTCACCCTGAGGAAGCAGCTTACAGGGAGAGAGGGGAGTCAGGGCATCACACTTGTCCTGTGGGTAGGATAATGGTTGCCGGCCACATTTCACCAACTGTGTGCCCTCGGGACCTGGGAGCTTCCTTCCAATTCCTGCCTCCAAGCATCAGCCCCCAGCAAGGGCCACCCTGGGTGACAGGGAGAAGGGGCCTCTCTCTGGGTGAGGCAGCCCTTAGACTCCACCAATGACCTGGATGTAGTCTAGGATTCTGCTCCCCACACTTGGCTCTGCCCAGGGGCACACAGAGACTTGGGACATTTGAAAGAGGCGCAGGTGGCCAGGATCTGGCCACAGCTGTGCCTTTCAATATGACATTCAATGTGTGTATTCTCTTTCAGAAAACGAACACCCTAAGAAGCCTTCAACTTATAAAATATACATTTTGAGACAAAAGACGGCAAGAAATATAGGAATATTTATTGCAATATTATTTATGGTAACAGTAAGACTTAGAACCAAACTAGGTATCTGACGACCTTGCAATGAAATATTCTAGACCTGCACTGTTGAATAAGGTAGCCCCTAGCCACTTGTGGCTATTTAAACGTAGATTAATTAAAATTAAATAAATGTAAAATTCAGGTCATCAGTTACGCCTGTCATATTTCAAGTACCCGAGAGCCACAAGTAGCCCCCACACTGGACGGTGCAGATCTAGAACATTTCTGTCCCTGTGGGAAGTTCAACTGCACAGTGCTACAGATACTGAACTGATGTTAAAGAAAACTTGTTAAGAACATGGAGAGACTTTATGCCATGATAACGTCAAAGCAGTAAACCTGTACTTGCGCCATGATCTTAACTTTGTTAAAACTGGTGCATAAGGGAAAAATAAATAAATAACTGAAATGAGATTTGCTAAAATGTGAAGACTGCTTCCGAGGGCCAACACATGCTGGATTCATTTTTCTGATGCTTTATGCTTGTATGAAATCTTGAAATTTTCTACAATGAGCAAGTGCCATATTTAAAATCGAGTTGGGGAAACCCTGGCTCCCAAAGGTAGCCAGGAAGCATAGGGTGCAAAAGGCACTTGGTTTTACAGCACAGTCCCGTGGAGTTTGGCTGAACTAGGCCTAAAAATCTCCAAAGTTGAAAGTTCAATGTGTGCTTGGCAGTATTAAAAAAAGAAAATAAAAATTCTGTCTCAGAAGCAGACTTGAACTCCATCCTCTTTTCTCTCCCCAGAATGTGAGGCTAGGAAATGCCAGGAAGGCCTCAGTTCCTGGGGACACTTTGCCTCCTGCAGCTCACCCCAGCTCAGACCTGGGACCTCATCCTGCATCTGTACCTCTCAGATACTGTCATTCTCTGCTGAATTGACCTCGGATGGCATGGGAAAGGTAACTGAACACTTCCACCAGGGGAGAGCAACCCTGAGTACACTCCAAAGACACCACAGGTGGCACAGGAGGAGATTAGAATCCCACATGCTAATTCCTGTTTCAGAGGCACAGGACAAAGCCAGCCTCGCAGTCCTTAGGAATGGACCCAGGCACTATGCCAGCTCATCAATGGTCCTGCTCATGCTCCGTAATGAGTTGGACAGTGTCCCCCAAAATTCACGTCCTTCCTGGAACCTCAGAATGTGACCTTATTTGGAAATAGGGTCTTTGCAGATGTAGTTAGTTGAGGTCACACCGGAGCAGGGTGGGCCCGAAATGCAGTCTGACTAGTGTTCTTCTAAAGAAGGGACCTAGAGAAACGGACACAGAGGAAGATGGTGTGAAGACACACACAGAGAGAAGGCAGCCGTATGAAGTTGGAGGCGGAGACCGGCGAGGCGGTCTGTGAGCCAAGAAAGACGAGGACTGACCACAACCACCAGAAGCTAGGAAACCAGGGAACAGATACTCCCCTCGATCCTTCAGGGAGACCAAGGCCCAGCCGACACCTTGATTTTGGACTTCTGGCCACCAAAACTGAAAGAATACACTTCCATTATTTGAAGCAACCAGTTTGTGGTACTTGGTTACAGAAGCCACTGGAAACTAATAACCACTCCATTGTGCCTTGTGCGTATTGCTCAAGCCTATGCGTTCTCAAACCGAAGTGTTCGGGTTTGAAGGTCACAGGCTACATGGGGCATCCTGGGACCCAAGCATGATGAAACCCACTCCAGGGATGGCTCATCACAAAAATAAAAACTCCTTCAAGTCTTCAGAGTGCTGGAGACATCCAAGAAACACAGGCCTTTACCTTGAGAATGTATTTAATGCCTCCGTAAATTAATTCCACATCCACAGTGTTCAGGAGGGAATCCGCAGGGAGGACCTGGCCCCTGAAAGAGAAGACAGACCTGAGGGTCGGCCTTGGGAGTCGCAGAACTCTATGGCCCTCCCCTGGATTTAAAAAGATCACCCAGCTCTTTGCCTTGCCTACACACCAACACACCTGGCTGTACTAAGAAAGCTAAATCTGGTTAAAAGAAACATGGATCATCCCAAGGAAGCGGACATTCCTCAGGACTTGAGGAAACTGCTCTTGCTGAAGGATGTGAAATTTCAAAAGGGCTTTCCAGGAACCAAAGTTCATAATGGCTTCTTCTTGAAAGCTTCTATGTAGGAATCCTGCCGCCTGCTTATGAAAGAAACCAGTTCACAGACTGATGCTATTACCACTCAAAAAGCATGAGAAGTAAGCACTAAAAACTTTTATCTCTTTGTTTTCTTTTTGATACTTTCATTTGCCTAGCACAGTGATTCTCGACCGGGGGCAATTTTTGCCTCTACCCCTGGGACATTGGCAACGTCTAGAGACATACTTGATTGCCATGAGGCCCCATTGTGTAATGGTCAGCACCCTGGACTCTGATTGTCATGAATTCCGGGGATAGAGGGGACACTCTGAATGGGGCCAGGGATGCTACAAACATCCTACACTGCAACAAGACAGTCCCACAACAAAAAATTATCCAGCCCAAAATGTCAATGGTGCTGAGGCTGAGAAACTCTGGCTCATCCGAACATTTAGCACCTGCCCATGGCCATGCTGGTCCTTTTCACTAGGCATCTGCTGATTCAGGTGAAGGTTTGGGAAAGACCCATTTGTAGAGGTGACCTATAACTGCTTTGCTTCTCAAATCCACAACCTGACTCTGAACTCCTGTGATGACATGCCTGACTCAAATCAACATGAATAAACACATGACTGTATGTTGACTGCTGCCTTGGACTTGAGAATCCTGTCCCCTGACCTTTTCCAGGGCAGCCCAGGTCCCTATGAGGAATTTCAGAAGCTAGCACGTAAGAGGGGCTCACTAATCACCTGGTGACTGATGTGCTTGCAGCCAAATTATGTTTGGACTTACTTGCCACTAAGACATATCCCAAAAGGGGCAAAGAATTATCCTCGCGCCCTACCTTTCCAGCGAGTGTAAGAAATCTGTCATGCAGGTTCTGAACTTCGCATCAGCCACGTTCAAGGCTCCGCACACCACCGCAAGCATGATATCTGGCTTCTCGGCCTAGGAAAGACTGCACTTCAGTATTCATGGCAACCAAGCCTACAGGGAGCTGGGGGGTCTCTGCAATCCAGAGGTGAGACACTCCCCACCTGCACTTTCTCAGCGATGAGATGATCCAGCCACCCAGTGTCGATGTCGTTGTTCTGGAAGCTCTCGGTCTCCAGGAGGTTAATGAGATATTCCACAGTCGTTCTGAAGTCACCTCGGATGGACAGTTCCTTCAAAGCCACCACCATGTTCCTTGAGGAGAAAGGCACACAGATTGTTTTCCAATTAACATACAAATCAACAAGAGTTCCCGCCAGGTTCCCAGAGAGCAGAACAGCACAAACGGGAAGAGGGCCCTGAGTCAGGTGGCCTGGGCCAATCTCGGCTCCAGCATCTACTAGTTAAGTCATCCCGGGCAAGTGACTTAACTGTCTGGGCTTCAGTTTCTTCATCTGAAAAATGGGGAAATAACCCTGACAGGGGCTTAAAGATCCTTGAGACAATCAATATAAAGCACCCAATCTGATCAATAAAAGTCAGCTGCTATGAACGTGATTAATTACAGTGATTATAATTTTAATTAACCACTGCCAGTCACCCTGCCTCTCTCTCCCCGCTGGACATATTCAAATTCAAATTCCTGTGTCCCAGAGCTAGTGCTGCCCGCCCCTTACCGGCCATCTGCACAGCTGTTCTGCCCCAGGTGCACGAGGTGCACTTACAGACTGCTAACTCTGCTACCCCGCCCAGGGCGTGGCAGTCAGTCACCAGCCACATGTATTTGGCAGGAAATCATCTCCCGTTTCCCAAAGGGACTGCCTCTCCCCAAACAGGGTCTCCAGTCCAAAGGGCTGAAACCTCCACTTTCTGTGAAGCCATGGAGAGAGTGTTTTGGAGGAAATATACCAGAGCAAGAAGAGGCATTAGAAGGTGTCCCTTTCTGGAAGAGGAGAGCTCTTACAGCATCCCTGCGTGCTTTTACAGCAATGGCCAGTCCAGATGCAATGGAGTCAAGTAAGGTGTCAAAAGGCTGCGGTTGTGGGAGCCGAACCTGCATCTAAGAGTTAAGCCACTGCACTCAGGGTGACCAACTTGTCCCAGTTTGCTCAGGACTTTGCCAGTTTTAGCACCGAGAAATCCTAGTCCCAGGAAAACCTGGACAGTTGATCCCCCTACTGGACTCTGACAGCAGTAATAAAAAAAAAAAAAAAAGAAAAAAAAAAAAAAAAAAAAAAAAAAAAAAGCTGGATTTTTTTTCTCCCCCTCTGAATCCTGTTGAAGTTGCTACCGGTCATTGATTCACAGCATGGGACAACCCACAGGCCATTTCTTTTGGAATGGGCTGGGCCGGCTGACCTCCCTCCCTCTCCCTATTAATTCTTATTTGCTGAAATGCTCCCTAAGCTCCAAAGGTCTCCATTTTTTACTGAGCATCATTAAAATTAATTATTCAAAGCTGGCAAAGAAGGCCAGCTCATCAAATCACTAATCTCAATTTAATTCATGGCTAAGTGCCTTGAGCCAGAAAGATTTTAATACTTTTTAAATGAAATATCCACAATGTCTTTAGGATTTCTCACATTGAAGGACAGTTATCTACCCACACAAGAATGCTGAATGACAAAGTGGACGGTTTTGACCTTTTTGTGCCCAGGTCAAGGCAGGAGAAAGGTAAGGTGTGTTTCAGAATTCCGGGTCCCCTTTGTCAATGTGGGTTTCTCTGGAAACTACGTATGAGATTTAGATTAAGGAGTTCCCACCCCACAATACACCTTTTAAAAAAAAAGAAAAAAGCTATAGTACTCAGCATCTTTTAAACTTTTGGAATCACTGTGAACATTCTTTGGATCTCCTTCAAGTTCAACCTATAACAAGCTCAGGAGTAATGACCTTGGTGAGGCTTCATGGAGCTCAAACACAGGAAGAGGGTAGACTTTGTTCTTGAATTCAGCACAAGGTATTTAAAACAGGGTTTGCTCTGTGATTCACTTCCCTTGATCTCCTAACTCGCTAAAGTATCTGAAGCGACAGGCTTTTAGTTTTTTAAAGGAAGAAAGGTAGAGACAGGAAGGAAGGAAGAGGGGAGGGAGGGAAGGTGAGAGAGAAGGAGAAAAGATACTGACGAAATGGCCTCTTCCCGGTTCTCTCCCCAAGAGAAACAGTGACCGAACTGGGAATCAGCAAACTCATGTAAGCCACCAGCAGCAGCCACGCTGAAATAACCCCACACATTCTTGCTGCTGCGAAAATTCAATTCCTGGACTGTTCCAGAGCTCGGCTTAAACCCCTGGAGCCAAGACAGAAAAAGCAAAATGGAAGAAATCATTACTCCAGACCTATTTTCAACAGAATTAAATTCTAGGAAAACCCCAGAATGCCTGCCACAACCAACAGGTTATTGTGATCAATGAAACATTGATATTTCTTATCCTTAGGGGTGTAAATGTATCTGTGGGTGTATCCACGTGAGCACGTCAACGCATGTAATTTTTACTTTAAAAACACTATTAAAAAAATAACAACCAAGTTGGGATGGGGGAAAGAGGTACAGATACAATATAGGTGAATGGTGATCATTGATGGAGCCCAGGGAAGGTACATTCTGATTTTATACTCTTGACATTGTTGACAATAAAAAAATTAAAAAGGACTGGATTTCCAATTTTGAATTATGAAAATTGCAGCATATAAAGAAACCCACTGTTAGCCTTGCTGATGCTAACACATCTAATTCCCTCACCTGTAGCCTGTCTCACTCTGAGTGTAATTTTGGTAAGCAGGGGTGGGGGTTGGGGAGGTGGATGCAGACTCTCTGGGATTAAGGCTCTTGAACTGAGTGATGGAGGCATTCTTTTTGACAGAGGTGCCTGGAGGCAAAAGATAGAGTTCTAGGTACCTGGGAACTCCATCACCTAGTCTGATCCTCCATCCCCCTAGGCACCCGTAAACAAGCCATCATCCCTCCTAAAAATTCCCATTTTGCTGTCTACCACCGGAGCTGGTTGTTTGCTTGCAGCCAAAGATCCCAAACTAACACAGCTGCCATAGCTTAATATTCTTTAGTTAAAAGGGAGAGAGGAAAAACAAACCTCTTACTCCACGTTTCTTGAATGTAATCATGAAACAGGTTGTGATAGACTATGGAGATGATGTGACAATCGACCATCAGTAAGCATCTAAACTGTGATAGATGCCAACTGGTTAATTTTTTTAAGGCACAAATAAGAACAAGTCACAGACAGACTCCTTACATTGGACCAGATTGCATTGATGGTGCAGCAAAAATTCACAGGACCAGAAATCCAAGGACCCAGGCTCTAGCCTGGCTGTTTGATCCAAAGATGGACGTGGCCTTTAGAGTCCATGATGGGGGTTGGCCATGGCCTCAGCAGGTCCTAAGCTTGAGGCGTTAGGCAAGTTTCCCCAATCTCTTGAGCTGGAATGTGGCAAGAATAGTGCCCAGCGGCAGCAGTGTCATGTAAGCGAGCAATGAGATGTATGAAGGGATCTGCCCAGTGCCTGGCCCACACTGTGTGTCAATAAACCATGATTTGTCCCTTCCCACACCTCAGTTTCCCCTTCCGTAAAATGAGAAGCCTGGGAGTCTTAGCCTGGGGGTCTGTCTCACATGGGGAAATTGGAGATGGCGGAAACACAGAGCCCTCCCCACAACTTGCCTCATCTGGGTTTTCACTGGTGATTCTGGCTGCAATGACGTGGCCTCGGACGAGCGGAGGGTGGGAAGGAGTTTCAAAAGAAATAGGCGTCACCCCCCATGGCGACTCTCCGTACAAAAGTCGGATATCCTTCAGCCGGTGCAGTGGCACACCCATGGCAATCTGAAATCAAAAAATACATCCCACGACTGTCAGTCCCATGAGACCTCTGGCTCCCAAACACCGAGCACAGTGCTAGATGCAATGGAAGAGGTGCAGTGAATGAGTTCAGATATACTGAGAACCTCATGTGCACACAACGCTGCTATGTGGTGGCAGGAGAGACAAAGAAAGAAAAAGACAAAAATCTTGACTCTGCAATAGTGTCAATGAAGAGGTGACATTCGTAAAACAAAATCATATGACAAGAAAATATGCGCGTCAGATAAGATTTACAAATTTTAGTGCTACAGAAGGTGAGAAGGAAAGGTGTCCACTGGCAGAATTACAGGTTTTGTGAAGGATTCAGGGAAAGTTGGGCTAGAAGAATGAGTAAAAACCAGACAGTTACGGACACTAGCTTAGCCACATGATCATATTTAACATGCTGTGTCTTGTGATATGAACTCACAAGGGACACAACAACACTTGTGGAATCCCCCGCCAAAATGTTTAAGAGATTTTAACCAGGAAGAAACAATCAGACCAATCCAAATTGAGGGATATTCTGCCTGAACTCTTCATAAATGTCAATGTCAAGAATGAAAAACGAAGACTAAGATTAGAGACAAATGAAAAATGACAATGAATTGTAATGTGTGGTCCTTGATTGGATCTTAGATTTAAAAAAAAAAAAAACAAGCAAAAAACAACTACAAATTTGGAAACTTATTGGGACAACAGGAAAAATTTTAATGTGGGCAGTAATAGTAGATAGATATGTGGTGGCTTCAATGCTCTATTTCCCAAGTGTGATAATTTTATTGCGGTATTATTATAACAAAATGCCCTTGTTCTCAGGAGGTCCTTACACTGAAGTATTTAGAAGCAAAGTGGCATGACAAGTCAAAACATCTCTCAATAGATTGAGCCAAAAAAAAAAAAACAACACTATACACACAAGTAAAGAGAAGGCAAATATAGCGAGATGCTAACAATTGGTATATGTAAGCATAGGGTACGATATTAACTTGTATTATCCTTGCAACTTTTCTAAAATATTTCAAACTAAGAAAAGAATAATATAAATTCTGGTGGAGGAAGAAAGCAAACAACAACAACAACAAAACTGAGTTCCTATTAATGCAAGAGTTCCTACCCCTGGGTCACAAGTTCTCAATGGGGGTGACACTTGCCCCAAGCAGGCAAACACTTGCTCTTGGGAGTGAAAAAAATCTTACTCTTTGTATGTATAAAAGCACAGATATATCGACAATACCCAAACAAATAGGGGAGGAATTAGGGGGAAAAAATGTCTAAAAAGGCTCCTTAGGGGAAAGGTGATAATTAAAAAAAAAAAAAAGGTTGATAAATACTTCTCTGGGTCTATGAATGAGTATCAGGGGTCCACGAATGCCCTGAAATTGTATAAAATATATTTTACCAGGGAGAAAGTCTGTGGCTTTTTCCAGTTTCTCAAAGGATTACATGGTAAAGGTGAGAAACCACATCACAGAAGTTTCTTAGCCTGTGTGGCTCTCAGTGCTACTAACGTATTACAACAGTCATTCCTCAGAGACAGCCAGCCAAGAGGAGCATAAAGGTCTCATCGGGGTAGGACCAGGGACCCCGCCCTGGGCAGAAGACCCAGGGCTCAGGGCTCGTTCCCTCACCTGTAGCTGGGCAGCCGGCAGATTCACATCAGCGATCATTTCTGTGCAGGGGTGTTCCACCTGCAGGCGGGGATTCAGCTCCAAGAAGTGGAAGCTGCCATCCTGGCTGTAGAGATATTCAACTGTGCCTGCGCTCACGTAGCCCACCGTCTTGGCCAAGAGGACAGCACACTGCAAAGAAACAGAGACCAAGGGGTTTCCAGTGGTTTTCTCAAGTAGTTTTAATGGTGGTTTATTAGTTTCCCCATCAAATGGAGACCTGCTATGTGTCGATTACTTTGGGACCGCACAGATCATTCTCCAATAAACCCATGCCAGGCTGGAACCATCTCCATGATGGGCCCCCAGTCCCGTCTTGGGCACCCACCCAACTCTGGCGACACGGATGATGGGGAGCTCTTGCCGACTTTGAGCTGACACGGCTTCCCCTGAAACTTCCCCTGCCCCCTGGCTTGCAGAGCCCACCTGCTCCATGAACTCGAACACAGCAGGTTTAGCAATGGTGGCAGGTGCCTCCTCGATGATTTTCTGATGTCGCCGCTGGATGGAGCAGTCTCGCCCAAACAGGGACACGGCGTTCCCATACTGGTCTGCGAGGATCTGGACCTCCAGGTGACGGGCGCGCTGGGCCAGCTTCATGAGAAAGATGGGGGAGCCCGGGATCTCACTCTGCACCTGGTGGGGAAGGCAGAGTGGCTGGCTCGTCCCTGGGCAGCCAGGGCTGGAATAGGAAGTTCTCCAAAGAGTGAGAAATGATGGCAGTGACATCCACGATCTTTTAGTTTTGTTTCACCTCTCTTAAAGACATTACATTCTCACTGTTGTTTTAAATCCAGCATTGTGAAAATATATAACGTAGAAGGTAAAATTTCCCCACAATCCCACTGCCTAAAGATAATGTGCTGTTAAGAATTGGTTACAAACTGGTTAAGAGTTTACAGTACTGTTAAAGAGTGACGGTAGTTGAGAGGTAACTAGTTAAGAGTTAATGTGCTATTAAGAGTTGGGTGTACAAACTGGTTTTCTGCTAAACATTCAGTAACACACACACAGAATGTTTCTTTAAACAAAAACAGGACCAAAGCACAGTACTCTGTAGCTTTCTTTTCCTCCTGCTCAGTGAACTTACTCAGCCAGCTCTCCACGGTAGAACCTATGACTGACTTCATCCTTTTAATGGCTGATATGCATTATAGGGATGTCTTATAAGGATGTCATCTAGAGATTCTTAAAGAAAGATGACATAAAAACAAGTGTTCACATGGAATGATTTCTAAGACAAATATTTTTAAAACACAGGTTACAATTACATATGAGATGACCCCACTTAAGTGAAAAATAGTAAAACCAAACTGCATAAATGTCTATATAAAAGAATATAAAGTAAAAATGCTGGTGAGAAACCCAACTGCTAATGGTGCTTCCATCTGAAAAGGGGGGAGGTGTTGGAAGGTGATGGTAAAAAAGAAATTTTCCTTTTTCTATTGTTAACATATCACTGAAGTATCTGAATTTTCACACGAAGAACATGTTTATATTACACTCATACAATTAAAAGAGAAAAGCCTGTGGGAGGTCGTGCATGTGTGGGGGCAGGGGTGCAAGGGAACTCTACATGAAGTCCCACCACTTAACACCATCAATAGGTTCTATGACTTTAAGCAAAATGACACATAACAAAACCGGTTTTATCATAGGCTGACAGACATAAACAAGAGTTCAGTTCTTACAGCATCTCATCAACCTTATAATCAAATGAAACACTGTTGAAGGAAACTATGTTATTTGAAGACCTACTGTGCTTTTGGCTCACTTCTACCGTGAATTAGAAAGTGCTCTAAAAAGTAAAGTCTATTTTGAAAAAAGAAACAAAGAAAAGCTTTAAATTCTGTACAACCCCTAAATGTAATGGTGAGACCTGGATCACGCCTGGAGTTTCCTTAACATAAACGTATCATTGTTAATCTCTGAACTGTGACAAACATGGCATAGTTACAGAAGATGTTAATAATGGCAGAAACTAGGCGAAAGGGAGATGGGAGCTCTGTACTACTGCTGCAACCTTCCTGAAAATATAAATTCTTCACCCAAAATACCCCAAAAGAGGCACATGGTAGTAAAACTACTACTTCATATGACACTCACATATTGCCCACGGCTATATAATTGGTAAATTTTTAGAAAGCAATTTACTAATAAGTACATGTAAAGTGCATGCCATTTAACAAAGTCCTTCTCTCCCCATGGTGTTTACTCAAGAAAGTAATTCAAAAGAGGAGAAAAAAGCTAAGTATTAAGTGCCATGTTATACTATAGCAGAATTATTCTGCTCTAATGAAAATAATGAAAATGGAAACAAGCTGAACATTTAAAAAGGAAGTTTGATAAATGAGACTATGGCCACATAGGGAACACTGTGCAATCATCAAAATCATCGTTAAGAACTAGAACAACATGGCAAAAATAAAAATGTTCACGATCTACAATTTAGAATTTTTAAAATGTAGAACAAAATATTGTGTAGACCGAGTATGCCTCTTTAAAATATACCCATGAACAAGGTCTAGAAGAAAACCTAGAAATATTAAAATAGTTGGGTTAAGAATGAGAAGATTGTCAGCATATTTTTTTAAACATTGCCAATAATAGGCATAATGTTTTAAAAGTAGAAAACCAGCTACAAATAAGTAAACATACAAACTACAGTTGACACTTGAACAACTCGGGGGTACGGGCACTGACTGACCTCCCAGGCAGTCAAGAATCTGCCTGTAACTTTCGACTCCTCCAAAAACCTAACTAGCAATAGCTTACTATTGGCTGGAAGCCTTACCAATAACATAAACACTCGATTAACACACGGATTTGTATATTTTATGGTAGTAAATGATAAAATAGGCTCGTATCTACATATATTTTATGCATTCATGACATACAACCTTTTTCTTAATTTTTTTCAATATTTCTAGGGTATGCAGTTCTTCCATGAGTTTTTTTCAAATTATTGCAAATCTCTAAAAATTGTTTAAATATATTTATTGAAAAAAATCCATGTATAAGTGGACCCATGCAGTTCAAACCTGTGTTGTTCAAGGGTCAACTGTATAGTTCCTACGATAAAAACCAATCATCTAGAAACATTAAAAATATCAAGACTACTAAAATTTACAAAATATCCCATCTCTCAATAGACAAATATAGTCACAGATGTTCTGACCCTGTATCTCTGAAACTATTTACAGACACCCTGATTCACAGACCTGAACATCTAAGGAAATGAATGGTACACCGATCAACACAAACCATGGACTTCTGCGAGTGAAATGTACACATTTGCTTCGAAACAGCACAGCAATATTCCAGCTCCCACAAATATCCTCTCAATTGTGACAGAATAACACTAATGGAAATAATCTGGTGGCTAACAACTGAATAAAGACAATTTCTAAATATAAGTGAAAAAATACGCAGCAAGGACAGCTCACTTGTCTGAAGAGGACTGGGAAGTCCTCAGCACTCTCCACTTTTCGGATTCCTTTCCCTCCACCGCCTTCAGAAGCTTTGATCATCAATGGAAAACCAATTTTTTCTGCTGCCTGGGGACAAAGGACAAACAGACCTCTTTAGAGATTAGTTTCCACTGCTACTAGGACAGTGGGAAGGTTCTGGCACCTTGATACCCACAGGCTCTGCGTTTACCTCCAAGCCTTCATCTACGTCTTTCACACAACCCTGGTTGTAAATGTCTTCTGGGACACTGATTGTTTTTTCCTGCTGCAGACCATCTTTTTCCCACTTCACTGTCAGACCTGGAAAGGCACAAAGAAAGCTGAATCCTCCAAGGGCGGCGGAGACACACACAACACAGAAATCACAGGGCGTCTCCGCACCAAAGCCACTCCAGACCTGGCCTCTAGACCAACAGAATGCAGACACGACCCTTTAGCTTTAATTAAGAGCTTATAATTTTCTTAAGGACTGATTCAACTCTGAATGGGAAATCAAGCTTAAGAAATTCGGATTGAGTCTATAAGACCGACCATACTAAACTAAATCCAAAAATATCCCAAATCTCCCCTATGGAGTAATTTATATACAAATCATTACGTTCTAATACTGTGAAGATTAAAAAACAAAAACAAACTTTCCATTCCAAATTTAAAATTTAATCTTTAGAGGAAAAAAATCAAATTGAATAGGAAACTCCTGAGACTTTTTCTGTTTATTTTTTAATATAGCCTAGAAATTCCACTTAGAGGAATTTATCACAAGGAAATGCTTAAAACGCACATAGAGATTTAGCTACTAGATGATCAAGCCTCCATTACTTTTAACATTTCTTAAATTAAAACAACAACAAAAAAACTGGAAACAACCTAAATGTACGGCTAGAGAGGACTGTTAAATAAATCATGGTACATCTGTATAGTATAATTTTTTGCAGGCATTTTAAATGTTGGAAAGTATATTTATTGACATAGAAAGATTAGTGAGAAACAAGTCCCAAACCAGTAAATATAAGATCTCTGGTTTTTTAAAGGATGTGCATTTAAAAAAGGCAAGAAAGGTAGACAGCCTAAAATACAACAAAGTTCAACACCGGGTCATAGGATTATGGATGGTTTCTATTTCTTTTTTGTACTTCTCATATTTTCTAAGTTATCTACTATGAAATTGTACCGCTTGTTTAATCTAACTTAAAATTTTTAAATGAAAGAATAAATAAAAAGCGTATTCCCGTCACCCCACCTCTGCTCACATTAGCAAGACTGAGCCAAGTAGACCCCCAAAGTAAAGCTTGTGGCCCCTTACCACTTCCACTCCAGGGCAGTGTGGGAATCTGCAGCGTCTGGGCCACGATGGTAGAGGCGATCTTATCTCCCAGGGCCCACATGGCCTCACTGGGAGGGCCTGAGGAATCAGGGACAAGGGAGAAGTCAGAATCAAGTCAGCCACAAGACCCTCGCAGCTGAGTGCCAACCAAGTGAAAGAAAAGTATTCAGGTCCCAGCTCTCAAGTTTACCATCAGGTCAGGAAAAAAAAAATCTGTTAAGTCTGCTACTTCATCAGTCAACTTTCAACACATGTAGATTTTAAACCTGGTCTGACTTATAACCTAAGCTGTACAGCATATGCAAAATTCACTTTGCAGGGGAAGGCAAAAAATTAAACCAAGGGGGCAAGCTAGCATCTCAAAAAACTAGATCATGGTGGGCAAATTTTTCCTATAATGAGCCACACAGGAAATATTTTCAGCTTTGTAGACCTGCTGGTCTCTCTGTCACAAATATTAAACTTTGCCAGTGTTGGGCAAAAGCAGCCATATACAATACATAAATGAATGAGCAGGGCCATGTTTCAATAAAACTTTATTTACAAAAGCAGGCAGTAGGCTAGATTTGGCCCGTGGGCTGTAGTTTGCCCCCTTGTGGGCTGGACCATCAACTTCCAGAGGAGCTAAAACTGAAGGATAAAAGAGTCCTGTGTGACAGGCAATCGAAGACCATGGACAGAAAAAATATCAGCTAGTAAAGGTCACCAGACCGACCCTTGGTATATCAGGTGTTGATTGAACTGAGCTGCTTCATACAAAAGTCTGTGTTATAGGCTCAATGGTAAGGATTTATTATGGATGATAATTCCCCTAAACCATGAAAGGAAGTCAGATAATATAATTGCACAAAGTTTACAAATACAAGTTCAAATCTTGAAACAAACAGATGTCACAGATAATAAGTATCCTTTATCTAATAAGTAGTAAAGATGAGGGGCTCTGGTCCCAAGGGGTGAGGGCATTCCGAAGGAAAGCTGTGACCTCATCAGAAATGTGACCTTTAAACCTAGTGATAACTCTGGACGTGGCTGGTACCTCACTCGGTACCAACAGGAACTAGCAGAAGTCTGCTTGTCCCAGCATTATTCCACTGTGGTAACCATTATAATGGCTCCTATTTCTCTGGGCTGGCTGACCTACCCAGGTGACCTCCTATCCATAGACTCACTTATTCCTGACCATGAATTTGTGAGTGGAAATATTGAGGTGACCCCCACCTTACAGAAAGACAATCTGACCCAGCAGAGTATTGTTACATCAATGTCCCAATTCCCATGTATCTGATGGAGACACACTCTACCTAAGAAAGCAATCTTGTACTTGCACAGGAGCTCCGGAAGTTTGGGGTTTTCAGAAGCATGGCCCCAGCCAGCCCACACCGCCTGCAAACACAAAGAGTCATGAACAAAGATCTTCCTTCAAGAACCTGCCTCCCATCACACACCGAAAGCTCTTTGCCAGGTCACATCAGTCTTGGAATTCAGAGTCTCACAGGACCTGGCTTCTCTGCCCCTTCCGAATTGCGGAACTGAGCTGCTCCTGAGCTCAGGGCATCACCCGCTGTGGGCAGACTGGGGTGCCCCATCCGACTTGCCTGCACGGGGATTCTCTTGGCAATGTCCACAATCAGCTCCACGTTGGCATAATTGTTGTTGTTGGGCCCTCCTGGGACAGGGACGTACTGATCTGCCATCTTGATATACTCTGGAATTAAACAGGAGAGAAAAGGAATGAACAACAGAGAGATGGAGTTAGTTGTAGAAAATCTGTAAGACATGACTGCATATGGCCATTGAAAGGACAACCGTGACAATTCTAGGGCAACAATGGACAAATGTGTGTGATAATTAGAAGAAAACTGAATATGACTTTAATTATGTAAAAATATATGCATGCCTGGACCAGGCCTGGAAGAGAACAAAAAAGAAGGAAGCGAGCTATCAGGATAGTGGGTATTTTTATTCCTCTTTAAAGTTTATATTGTTTAGCCGTTAGACAATTCAATGCTTATTTTTCATCGTGATAAAAATAGCATAACATAAAATTTACCATCTTACTCATTTTCTGAGTGTCCAGTTCAGAAGTGACAAGTATATTCACATTGTTGTGAAACAGATTTCCAGAAATTTTTCACAAATTTGAAACTCTGTACCCATGAAGCAACAACTCCCCTTTCCCCCTCCCCCGCCCCAGCAGCCACCTTTCTGTCTCTATGGTTTTGACCACTCTGTGGACCTCATATAAATGGAATCAGACAGTATTTGTCTTTTTGTGACTGGCTTATTTTACATAGCATAATGTCCTAAAGTTTGCCCATATTGTAGCATGGGACATCAATTCTTTCCTTTTTGAAGCTGAATACAATGCAATGTTTTAAGCCACAAATTCCATTTGGAGAAATACGTCCTAAAAAAAAATCTTTGGTGATGGGGACCTCTCTTCCGCCTCCACCCCGTGCTGTGAGCCCTCCTTTGCAGCCTGCACATTCTGCTAGTCACTCCCCTAGCTAGTCGGCCTGTAAGGGCCAAGACCCAGCAGCGCAGCCAAGTAACCAAGAGAATGTCCATCTACTCCTCCAGGTCTGTGAAATCGGCCACATGTGCCAATAAATATGCCCACCTCAGCCTCCCCCATGATCCGCCCCAGGGCTAGCTCAGCTCCCTGCATTCATTAAAGCTGGAGATTGGGGCTGCCAGCCAGCACACAGCACATGGCCTGGTGCTCCCAAGATGCCCAATAAACGCATGTTGATGAATAAAAAAAAAAACGAAAGAAAGAACGAACAAATGAATGAACGAATGAACACACACTGGGAAGATCCCAGAGATTATAAAGTAAGAAGTCAGATAAGCACTTTCTCCTCACAGAGGTTTACTCTAATGTTGGAGAAGATAAACAAGAAAACAAATACAATAACTACAGACTGTGGTCAGCGCCAGAGATGAGTGAGATGCTAAAAATCAAACCTATCCTCACTGTTCATTGTGAGTTAGCTGCACCTATGTAGGGCAGAGCCCAGGGCCTGTGCCCAAGGAGGTTGGGGTGCGGGTAGGGGAGGTTTAGGGGATGGGGCTGAGGTTGGTGGTGCTGGGAACAGCACTGCAACCTCTGAAGCGTTTAAGAAAGGGCTGATGGGACCTGAGCTGTGTTTTTAAAAAATCAGTTTGGCTTCTCTGTGGAGAAGTGTCTGTAAAGAGATAAGATTGTTCAGGAAAAGCAGCAATTGTCCAATATTTATTTATAGAATGGTCTAGGCTAATAAAGAGGGTAAGTGAACAGAAAAATGAACAAATAACTGAAATGCAGTACATATATCTGCAAGAGAAAAACATCTGGAGGACTAGACACACATATCTGTGGTAATGCAGACATTTCTCAAAGATGGGATTTCTGCTTTGCATGTTAACCATCTGCATTTTTATAAGGCACTTAGGTCATTCTTGTCATCAGCAGACATTTTAATTAAATAAAGAAGAAAGGGCAAATAAATGTGGGCTCATGAGAGGTACCCTGGGGCTCTGTTGGGGGTCCAGAATGGATTTTCCCAGGTGGAGTGCAGGTGAGGACAGGTAAGGAAGGAACATGATGGGGTGGTAGGGGAAGGGAGTCAAGGCCCAAATACCTGCATTGGCCTTGAGGTCCTCTGGAGTCACCATGACTACAAACCGAATGGCCCGCTCATTTCGAAACATTTCGTAGGACCACCTGCGGATGGAACGCATACACTTCACGGCAGCGATGCCATTGTTGGCGATGAGCACCTGGATGGAGAAAAGGACATCTACCTGGACTAGATGTTGTGTGCCACCCGAGGTCTGTTTCACAGCTACAGAGCCTCCCTGCAGTATATAGATCACATTATCCTTTGTATTTTTACAGCACACAGCCCAGCATAGAGCAGGTGCTCAGAGTCTTCCAACTACATGAATGAATAATCAGGTGGATGGATGGATGGATGGATGGATGGAAAAATAATTTGGAGAAAAGGATATCTACCTGGACTAGATGTTGTGTGCCACCCCAGGATCTGTTTCACAGCTACAGAGCCTCCCCGCAGTATATAGAGCACAACATCCTTCTTCGTATTTTTACAGCACACAGCCCAGCACAGAGCAGGTGCTCAGAGTCTTCCAACTGCATGAATGAATAATCAGGTGGGTGGATGGATGGACGGATGGATGGATGGATGGAAAAAAAAAAGGATAGACAGATGGATGAAGGGATGGAGGGAGGGATGAATGGATGAATAAATGAATGATGATTTTTGACTCTTTTATTTGGTGCCATCATGATCACATTTTTTGAGTTTTGTATGGACCAAGCTACAATACAATGTATCTCACTAGCATTCATGCCATCCTCACAACAGGCCTTTGAAAGAGGTTGTATTATTATCCCTGCTTGGGGTTAAAGACATTAAAACTCAAAGGCGTTAAGGCACTTGCTCAAGGTCACACAGCTAGTAAGTGACAGAGCTGAGACTTGAACTCTCCACAGCGTGACCTGTGTTCTGAATGGACCCCTGTGGCTGCCTCTGCATCATGCAGGTTAAAGGCTTCAGATTTGGTAAGGAGGAAAGGCAGTAACGTTGGCTGGTCCCAGCAACAGAGAGCAATAGAAGAAACCTGGTTTCAATTCTCATTATGAGATGAACTTGACTGTGTGGCATTAGGCAGTTCCTTCTCCCTCTGAGCTCGCCTCCACATAAGAAGCTCAGACTGACCAACCACTTGGCCTGGTCTCTAAGAAACAAAACCAAGCTCTAGTTTTCTTATTTAAAAAAAATTAGGCATGTGTCTTCAAAGCTCTGACTTACGGAGCAAGTCCATAATTTTAAGGCCCTTACATCATGGACTAATCTTCACAACAGCCCTGAAGGACAAGTCTCATTAGAGATTTGGAACGCAACTGCCTCTATTTTACAGAAGGGAAAACTGAGCCCAGATGTGACATTCTATGAGTGGTCACAGCAGACAGACCCCAGAACTCCTGGCTTAGGTTCAGCGTTCTTTCTCCCCTTTCAAAAATGACAAATTTTAGCTGTTTCCTTTCATTACTGTTATTCAAGTAAATAGGTCTCCTCTCCTCTAAGAAGCTGTAAACCTTAGGAAGGCAGGGCTGGGTTTCATGCTTCCCTCCCAATAACCTAGGAACCCTTGCATAAAGCACATCGGGGTCCTTTGGGGAGCCTCCTGACCTTCTCAGAGGCCTGGCTCCTCCTCTGTGAAAGGGGGTCATGCATGCATCTGCTGCATAAGGCTGCCTGAGGGTGAAAATCTGAAAAAGTCTGGCACCCAGCACTTAGCAAGTGCTTGTCTTCTCTCTGCAGCATGAGTACCCAGCCTGAAGCTGGTTCTCCCACACCACCCAGCCCCACTCAGAGTACCAGGACCCCATCTATACCTTCTCAATGACCTGATTCCCCCCAAAGCGTGTGACAAACTCGGCTGGAGAAGCTACGGTGAAGTCTCTCTGTAGATCCACCTTCCTCTGTTCTCGGCCCCTCTTCACCAGGTGGAGTCCCGACATACTGGGTCTGTGGAGGGAACAGGACAGACATGCATGAGCCAGGAAGCCTGGGACACTCAGGGAGGGAGTCGGGTGCTTGGCATCTATAAAACCCACAGGGACCGTGAAGCATTTATTTCAAGAGGCCAGCTCACGAATAAAGCAGGAGCAATCCCCTGACCCACACTCCAAGCTGTATATTTAGATTTTTAATCTTAAATTTTTACTTTATATGCCCATAATTTAGGAACTCAAATAATATCCAAAAACTTATAACAGAGGTGGAAGTCTATGATCAGGAAGTCACACATTCTAATACTTCAGACAGATTAAGCAGTATTGATAACTTTTCATGTACTTTTTTGGATGCATATATCAAAAATTTTTTTAAAGTGAAAACGAACCAAAAAAATATATAATAAAAGAGGATTTTGCCCCACTCCTCCACAACGCGACACCAGAGAAAATCACTTTTGTGGCATTTACACATCTCCATAGTTCCGAACGATGTGAGTATACTATTTTGTGGGTCATCCATCTGAGACACCACCTGTAGCCTTCCTATTTGGGATGAGGAATTAATGCTCTTATTCGGCCATCCCATCCATTTCCCTTCTCCCAACCTCTCAATAGGGCCATGCAATTTGCTAAATTTACTATTTCCAGAAGTGCTATTTATTCTTTCCAGAAGTGCTATTATTTGGATGCTGAAATTCCTGGACTGGCCCACCATGTTATTATGTATTTTTCTCTCTTCTATTTTTTTATCTCTTTTATTTTCTGGATGATTCCTTTAGCCTTCTAACTCCTCCGTTCAGTGGAACTTTTCACTTCTGCTATCATTTTAAATGTCTAAGAGCCTATTTTCATCTGCAAAGGTTTCTTTTTATGCATCCTGTTCCTATGTGTACATCCTCTCCAACCTTGATGAGTATTAATAATAGCTTTTTCAAGATCTCGTCTCCTAGCATGATTTGTTTTTCTAAGTTTCCTGTGTCATTTTGTTGGTTTGTTTGGGGCCTGTCTCCCATATTAGAAACTACCCAAATGTTTGGTAGCCTTGGTCACTTCCTCATGACCAAGAGCAGGAACTTAAGGGTTGATCAGAAGTACTGGAATGTGATAAAGCCAGTGGACCCTGAGCTCAACACGGGGTGATCTAGGAGGGCTGTGTCTTTAAAGTCTTCCTCACTGGTCCAATTCCCCTGGGAAAAGTCTCTGGGTCTCCTGCCTGGAGGAAAGGCTGGCCAGGAGCCGGGGCAAAGAAGGAGGCGTAACTTCTCGGACGGTCTGCGGGGCGGGGCAGGTTTTAGGATTGGGTACCTACATAGACCCTCATCCTCCTGTTAGGAATACTAGCCCCACACCCTCCACTGTGCCCATCATTCCCCAGTCCCAAGACCCTCTGCCTTTCCCTCTCCAGAGAACAAACCTCTTGCCTTCTGTTAGATGGAAGTGGGCAGCCCCCAGACACACAGAGCAAGCAAGGGGCTCTGGGAGTCTTTCACCCAATCCTTCTCATTTTGGTATCCCCTTTACCCCCAGTTGCAGAGGCTCTGGGCACTGCCAGCTCCTGTGCCCATCGATATTTAGTAGGTTTTCGGCTCTCCTCACTGCTGCTTTACCAATCTGCCCTCTTGGTTCTGCTAAGCCACTTATTCATCTGCTTTCCAGCTTCCAAAATGTTGCTAACTTCCCTCCTGTCCTCCCAGGCTTGAGGGGTTTCCTCTTTTTTTGAAAAAAAAAAAAAAAAATCTCTTTGCTGGCACTTGGTGAGATTTTGACCGGAGTGGAATCAGGCAGACACATTCAGTCCACTCACTTAATCCTGCCACAGGGTATTCAAGCTAAAAGCCACTTGCCAGGAATTAGGTTAGAGGTTAGCCATTCAGAGGTGTGTCCAGAGGCTATGTCATCAGGCATCTTGGAAGGCTGGGGCTGAGTCGACTCAGGGGGCCAAAAGCTTGGGTGAAAAATTGACTGCTCATAAGGAACATCGCCAGCATGCTGTGGCCTACTGCCTGAGCAGGCAACAGCAAGGATGGAAGCAAATAAGCAGTCAGGGAAGAAAAGTTCCATTTTATAGCTGAGAAAACTGAGGGCCAGCCAGGCAAAGGGGGTGGGTCACCAGCAAGTCAGCAGGCCTGGGGCTCTTTCCATCACACCAAGAAATGTTGGGTGTGGGCATTTTCTGCTATTCAAAGACTTTACAGCCAGTAGAGTTTCCCATGGGAAAAAGCTTTCTGCAAACCTGAAGTCTGTCCCCAATCCCCAGAGTGAGCCTACCTGTCAGAGGTGAAAAAACAGACTTCTAGGTTAACGGAAACAGAGAAATGAGTGACAGAAACCATCATGTTTATGTGCTACTACAGGATATTTTCAATTAGGACCTTTTCCATTCTACTCGGCTTATTCATGGTGACTGACTGAATGAACAAATAAATGAACAAATGATTTCTGGCCCTTAAGATAGCCTCGCTGCCTCCCCAAAATTGCAAGCATCTTTTCTTCTAAAACCTCCCAGATTGAACTGCTGCAATGAAATAGGATTTAGAAAAGTACTTTGGAAGGTCAACATCATCTTGCAAATGTAAACAGTATTTTTATCATAAGTACGTTTTATGAACAGGTAGTTCAATTCATTTTCAAGAATTTTATTTCTTTACAAAAACAGGCATATTTGGCCCAAGGGCCATAACTTGCAGACCCCTGATCCAGTTATCCTAAAGATGCTGAAAGCCATGGCCATCCCATTACCCATTGGGTAAGGCACTCAGTTTCCTTATCTTTAAAATGAGAATAACATGGACCTTATTGACGTCTGAGGAGTAAATAAATTAATACACAGAAAGTAAACGATAGGATCTGGCACACATTATTCTCTATATTATTATATCAGTGCACTGAGGCCTGGGCCTGCTGATCTCTCAACCTCACCAGGAAAGGCATTCATTAGGCCACCCCCTGCCCAGGCCGGCTCCCCATCTGTGCACTCTCCTCACTCTGTTCACGATCTTCCCCAACGGGCTGGCTTGATCCTTTGGCTTCAGAAAGTCTGAGACATCCCATTTCCACACACACAAACATTAAAACTCTAGCAATCCGACCTAAAGTGCAACAAAGCAAACCTCGACCATTAGAAAAAACACCACTGTATGGCCTGGGGAAAAACCATTCATGGCCACCATTTTGATATTAAAACTGGTGACAGAGCCACCCACCCGCTCCATCAGGTGGGTCACAAACCCATCACAGCAAAGTAGGTTGGTGAACACACATAATGCTTCGGGGCAGGGGGCGGATTGTTTAAGGCCCTGTCTACAGGCTGATGGCTATTTTTATTTGTTTTTGACAAAGCTGGAGGCCAACCAACATTGGCTCTGGAGTGCTGACCTTAGGCTGGCATTTGCTCCAAGGCAAGTGTGGTGGCTGAAATGATGACTTTGGAAATTGCTTCAGGTGCTATCAACTATGCAACAGAGCTGTCAGCCAAACACAGTCAGCTGCTGAGGCACGAGACCAGCCAGAAGCACATTGGGAGGGAGGAAATAATATTCTGCAGTGTCACCACGGATAAAGCACAGGAGGCTTCTCACTGAAACCTCACAGCCCTGTGCAGGAGAGGCCACCATCTCCTGCTCACAATGAGGAAACCGAGGCTCAGACAGGCCCCCACAATCTAATTTTGAAGCAGAAAGCTATCTGAGATAAATGAAAGTACCTCTGTTGTCTGGACTTTAAAAAAACAAGCACAATGAGAGGCAATATGTGTAATGCAGGATCCTCAACTAGGGAGGCTACTGTGCTCTCTGGGGACATACAGCAATGTCTGCCGACATGTTTGGTTGTCCTAACCTGACGAGTGCTATTGGCATCTAGTGCGCAGAGGTCAGGGATGCCGCTCAACATCCTGCGAAGCTTCCAGGACAGCCTCCATCACAAAGAATTATAAGGCCCCAAACGTCAATAGTTCGCAGTTGGGAAACCCTGGTAGACCAGAGCCATTCTCCCAGGCTTTGGGTCTGGAATCTACTACTTATGACCTGTGTAATCGTGGGAAAGTTGCTTCGATACTCTGTGTGTCGTAGCATATCTGCCTCATAGAGCATGTGTCCAGGTTTCAGCACTGGGTCTGGCTTGCAGTGAAGAGCTTTAGCTGAGGCGTCTCTCTGCAAGGAAGCCATTATAAGAGTCCCAGTGCGGGGCCATCAGGCTAGGGCCCTGGCATTAACCAGTCTTTAAATCCTTTACCTCCCTTTTCCTTTTTATAATGGGGGGGTAACTGCAGAGAGGTGATGAGCTAACAGAAGTGAAGGCCTCATTACTATCACGACACAAGTAAGAAAGAAAGGACATTGCCTAGCCTTGTATAGGCTGGTAACTTTGAATTCATCTTTGGGCTTCCAGATAAATGGAACCATGGAAATGTCTCAGGTCACCTGTCCCCTCAGTACTCCTGGGATGACCACTTTGGTGAGGCCAGGGGTTAGCCTAACTAGGGCCCAAGGGCTAAATCCAGTCTGCCATCTGCTTTCGTACCTCCCACAAGTAAATAATGGTTTTTATGTTTTTAATGCTTGAGAAAGAATTGTGTTTTGTGACATGTGAAAATTACATGAAATTCAAATTTCAGTGTCCATTAAGTGTGACTGGAATATAGTCATGCCCATTTGATTATATATTATCTATGGCTGCTGGTGCAGTAAACAGCAGAACTGAGTAGTTGTGACAGAAACCATATGGCCATAAAGCTGAAAATATATACTATCTGTCCCTTTATGAAATCCGTTTGTCAACTTTGAGTTAGGCAGCAGTTTTCAACCCCAACTGTACACTTCAACCCATGAGAAGCTTTAAAAAGTACTGATGCCCAGGCCCCACCTGGACTAGTTAATAAGCATGACTGGGGGTGAGGGTTTGAGGGGCACTCGGACATTTACATTTTTCAAAAGCCCTCTCCCAGTGCCCCCCACTAGGAAATTCTAATGTACAGGCAGGGGTGCAAAACACATATAGATCCACGACCAG